GCAGATAGAGGAGGAAGAGCAGAGGCCCCAGCACAGAACCTTGTGGGACACCATGGGTAAGGGAGGTGGTGGAGGACCTAAACTTGGAGACGGCCACAGAAAAGGAGCGCTCAGAGAGATAAGAGGAGAACCACTCGAGAGCAGATCCTGATGGGCCTACCCAGTCTCTCAGCCTCTCCAGTAGCAGGTGATGGTCAACAGTGTCAAAGGCTGCAGTCAGGTCCAGCAGGACCAGAACAGAACAGTCCCCTGCATCACTGTGACTCAGAAGGTCATTAGAGACATTAAGAAGAGCTGTTTCAGTACAATGAGCTCTATGAAAACCTGACTGGAAGCAATTATAGATGTTATGATTGCTTACAGTCAGATTTTTGTAGAGCTCATTCTACTGAAACATTCTACTGAAATTTTTGGCTGATTTCTTCATCCTCAAACAGGCACATCTGAGCTTGTTTTCCCTTGAGGATGTCTTACAACAAGAGACCACTGCAAATTATTAAAACAATTAATAAACTTTATCTTTAAAAATGATTACCAACATTTTGTTTAGAATTTCATTCCACAGGAACATGGAAAGGCACCTAGAAGTGTCATCACTGAAATCTAAAGTGTTTCTCAGGAGTGAGCAAAAAGTAGCAAAGCAGTAAAAGCTTCAACTCGTGATGAACTCAGCTGGTCTGGGTGCAGCAGATGTGCAAGCACCAGCACAGAACAACAAAGTTTTCCAGTGGTGAAAATAGAAACTAACCGCCTTCGATCTCAAAAGCGACATCGAGTAAAAGTAAAAAATAAAGCTTGCAATTGTTTTAAGTTTGAATTGTTTAATGAATATTCAGTCTTTTGTAGCCTCATATTTCACACGATTGTAGCTTAACTGTGAAACTGAAAACACTCAGACACATTTTCATTGCAGACTAGAGAAACCTTAAATCTCTCGGTTCCAGAATCAGCAGACCAATAAAACTAACTGCAAGTCAAACTGTTTCCTCAGTAAAATTCACATTTTTATCTGCTAGTCAGTAAAGGCCTGCCTTTATCTTTTTACAATGACATTTTGTTCAGTCATTTGACATTTGAACATAAATACACGTTTTGTCTAGAATTTATATTTGTACTTTTATTCCTTCATTTCAATAAATATAAGCCAAACCAGATATTGTGAGTATTTCTGGCCTTTAACTGCACAGTTGGTTTCAAAGTGCAATGTTTCTTCTGCACCAGATTCCAGTGAACTTTTAGGACACCAACCAACAGAAACAGTGAGCAAGAGACAAAGAAAAAGAGAGAGGTGGGGGAAAAAGAAAGAAAGAAAGCCAGTCAAGGAGAAAATGAAAATGAAACCAAACCAACAAATCAACAGCAAGTGTGTCAGTGTTCACAGTCTTCTTCCGGCTCTTGGAAAGTACAGACGCGTTTTTCCTCCTCTCCTCCCTATCTTATCCCAAGGTTCTTTGTCTGCCTTTGGGTGTACGGTGCTTCTGCATTTTTTTTCTGGAAGCTGAAAATTATTAAAAATGGACCTGGTCAGTTGGTCTCTCAACATGATTGACAAGATTTTTTTCAACAATGAGAACGGGAGAAGGGGCTCCTGGTTGCCCCTCTGGGACAGAGCCACTTGGGCATATCAGTGACTCCTGGAAACAGTGGAACCTGATCTGCCTCTCCCACCTTTCTGTAGAGGATTCTGAAGACGTCTGGATATTCATGGTGTTGGTGTCAAGGTTCCTGCTTTTTGGCCTGAGTGGTGATCTGGCTTACCGGAAAATTAATGAGCTGTCAAGGAATATTGGCTCAATCCCGGAGCTCTGGGATGGATTACACCGCGCTGTGAACGCACAGACTCATATAATTGTCGAGATGAGTCGTAAGCTTGGAACTTTGGCTGAGATTCAGGCTCTGGCACAGAAGTTGGATTTGATCAAGAAGCAAGTTGACAGGTCAGCACGGATTGGGATTGATTAATTATGCCATTATTGGATTTAGAGGGGTTGAGGACCCACGGAACTTTAAGGCAGAGAGGAAACTATCTCTGTCTGGCCCCAAAACAAGTTCTTATCTGAGTCTGGTGCCTTGAGCCTGTGAGGCTGAAGCGATTACTCCCCCTCAGAAGAAATGTGGAATGCTGCCGTCGCCATGGCAACTCTGTCTCCCTATCCCAGCCTGGGTGGGACTGCGACCGGTGAAGGCTGTTGAATCGTTCCAGGAGTCACTGTGCTCTCTAAACCCAACAACCTCACACCCCTGTCCAAATGGAGGTGACGAGTGCTGCTTATCGTGGCTGCATTCACTGATGTTTGGAGAGTCCTCTACCCTACCTCCCCACCTAGTGGACACTTATGTTGTGTGATGTCTGAAGTATGTTGCATTTTTGTCTGAGGTGTTTTTTGCATAGCAAAGCTGCCCTCCCGGTGGAGGGTAACTCTGAAGTGCCTTTTTTTCCTCCACATGACCCAATCCTCATGTAAACCCTCTGATCTCTATTAAGGTAGCGCAACTCGGGTTGCGAATGACCACAGTCACCAATTCTTGTCATGTGTCCATGCCTATGTATGTATGTCTGATCTCAGAATTGTGTGTACTGAAACTCTAATTTCCCTCTGGGATTAATAAAGTATCTTTGAATTCAATGTAGCAGATTTATATACAGTGGGATGCAAGAGTTTGGGCAGTTTCTTCTTGGTTTTCCTGTATAAATTGTTGGTCGTTACAATAAACTAAGGAATGTAAATGCATGGTGAGTTTGTTTTATTTGTATTAAAACATTAAACAAATCAGTTATATTTCAATAAATGAATAGGATGCCTCCTGGACGCCTCCCTGGTGAGGTTTTCCAGGCACGTCCAACCTGGAGGAGGCATAAAGGTAGACCCATGACACATTGGAGGGACTATGTCTCTCACCTGGCCAGGGAACGCCTTGGGATTTCCCCAGAGGAGCTGGCCCAAGTGGCTGGGGAGAGGGAAGTCTGGGCCTCTCGACTTAGGCTACTGCCTCCACGACCCGACTCCGGATAAGCAGATGAAAATGGATGGATGGATGGATGGATGGATGGATGGATGGATGGATGGATGGATGGATGGATGGATGGATGGATGGATGGATGGATGAATGGATGGATGGATGGATGGATGGATGGATGGATGGATGGATGGATAGGATATAATAACATCACATACTGTATTGAAATTTGTATAGTTGTGAATGATATGATGACCCAGTTACTGAAAATCTCATCACCATTTACAGATGTTGTGCAGCTCTGTTTCGTGGAAAACATTAAGAAGTTGCATTGTTAGGAGAGTACATGATGCTCCTACAAACCAAAGCTGTCATTTTACATATTTAGCATTTTCATTAAAGTAAAATAAGACTTATGGCTTGACTGTTTATTCTAAATATGCCCACTGATGAGCAACACCATTAGAAACAATGCCAGATGAAGACACAATTTTAATATCTAAACTTAACATTTCTGTGTTTGCTGTTAGTCAGTGAAGTACAACTGAAAACTTAATTTCTGCACAAATTTCAAGTAATTAAGTTAAACTCATCAATCCATTTGTAGGATTCTAAACACCCCCTTAAACAAGCTATGAATTTCAATCAAAGGGACTCTCAGCTGCCAAGACGTAATATCCACCAGAGGTCATACCAAGGGGGGAGAGCAAATGTAATTAGTTTTTGGTTTTGGGAAATCAGACAGAACGTATATTTAAGAAATGCACGCTTAAAGTATGGACTTTAGTCAGGAGACTCCAGGCTAATGTGTAATTGTCATTATTTGGATTGACAAACACAATCAGAGATCAGTTAAGAGCCTAGCCTGTTGTGTTTTACAGAGAAGCAGCACGTTCAACTAAACAGGAAGAATTTTAAAATCAGACTTTAAGAAACATAATTCATAACATGGAAAGATCAGCTTAATATCTGATTAAATGAAATGAATTATGGAAGGCAACAGTGGTGACTGTACAGTAAACTACACACTCCAGCATTTAACATACGGGCTGTCCCTGTATTTGTACTAATAACAAATGCACAACGATGGCTTTTTATTCGGTGAGTCACAACAACTTGATTCATCTCTATTGAGCTCGGTTGCATCTGAGTCAGTCCTTTTGTTATTTCTCTCTGCAAGTCATCTTACATCATTCATAAAGCTGCACATTCTGCTCAGGCGTTCCTGTGAAAGAGACTAACGTACAAGGCTGCTTCAGGAATTTCAGCTTTTTCAGAATCCACCGTACAACTGAGTTTATGACCTTTTCCTCTGAAGTTAATCACCCCAACTCTCACAAGAACATTCAAACAGACGCCGAGCGCCGGGGGTAGCTGTGAGGTGCTGAGCACAAAACTCAGCTGGGATCAGAGTGAGTCATGGAAACAGCCTATCATTATGGGCTGTCGCTCCCTTGATGCTGCTGAAGCTAATTAAGCCTTGTATTGTGCTACTCAGGTCTGTTTGAAGTATAAAAGAAACACTTTGTTATTTCTTGTGCCGTTCTGTGTTTTAATGTTTAATTTCATTTGTTTACAATCTGGAAACCTCATGATTATGTAGATGTGCAAAAATATTTGAATGAAAATATGCTTTAATTGCCAAAGTTGAGAAATTGCCTCTTTAAGTTTATGTCTTGACTGGCAAATAAAAACAATTGCTTGGTGAGGGCTAATTTCTTTTACTCGACCACACATTTGGCTAATGTTTTTATGCATGTAAGGCAGAGACTGTATGCATGTAAGGGTGTTACAGAATAATGTATTAAATAATAATCATTTATGTTGTGGTTCATATTACATATATAACTTTCAGCAAAGCTGGCTTTCAATGAAATAAAGCTGACTCTATAGGTGATTTGACCATAAAGGTAATAATGAAGGTGAAGACTGACCCCTGCTGCTCAGGACCCGCCACCACTCCTGCTCTGCTTCATCCAGCCTGCAGAGTCGTGTTCTGGGACAGTCCCGTGATTATTTTTGTGTTTATCAACTGTTTACAGGATTGGAGTGCTGTGTGCATATGCTGCCAACCAGAACCTGAGCTCGCAGGTGAAAAACATCCGACGGTTGGTCAACAGCAACATGAGGGACCTGCACACCTTTGCTAACGACACACCAACGGTGGGACCCGAACAGAAAATATAGGAATTGAAACTAGATTGTCTGCTTAAACAATAGCTTTAAACTCCTCAGTTCAGTTTGTGTTATTATGATAAATGTAAACCAAATATTTTAGTAAATATAGGCAACTATTGGTTGAACAAGTATTAAACAGCAAAAAATTAGGCAAATAGTTTTTTAAACAAAGAAAATGACTATTTTTGAATTAAAAAGTAATAACACTTCAAAGAAACTATATTTATGAAATAATTTCAACCAGAGAAAAGACACGTCTTACTTTTGAGCAACGCAAGAGCATACAGAAACCTCTCAAAATACTTAATGGCATTTTTAAAGCTCGATGTTTCAGTTTGGTGAGTTTTATCAGTCCTCAGAACAGAACCACAAACAGCTTTAAATCCATTTGATGTTACTCGTGTTAATAATTTTCATATGTGACTAATAATGTAGAATGCATGTGTTATTTAGAAGTTGGAGTCTGTGATGAGGCTTATGAACTAGTTTGTGTTTGCTTTTCATTCCTAAAACTCCTCTGCTCTGTTTTCCTGTTTGCAGCAAATTGATTACCTAATATCCCAGTACGCCACAGCCAAGAACAAAGTCATCTACGACCTAGATAGTAAGTAAACCTTCTCTTTGCCTGAAAGGGTGAATTAAGTGGGCATAAATGATTCACTGAGCTCTTAAACTCGGTTGTGTGTTGATTCCTTTTTTTCCGCTCCACGACTTGTTTTGGTAACGTATGAGAGACATAACTGGGTCTGGAACACTACAGCTGTAAAGGTCCTCCTGAGAATTAAAGTTTTCTCCTGTATGCAGCTCTTTCCTGAAGTTAACAAGCGGTAGAACTTGTAACTGTTACTGGGAAAATGTTTTGTTTGTCACAGTAAGCAATTATTACAAGAAGTCAGACATTATATGGTTCAACAGTGGAAAACCTGTGAGGAGAGGAACCTTAATTATCAATAACAGCAGAATATTATTTATCCTGATCTGTGTTTCCTTTCAGACATAGGTCCCTTATTGGGTGGGAGGATACAACAGCACCTGGATAAGGAGGTTCACCCTGCCTTGGACCAAGTGCTGAACATGGCTGGAGGTACATTTACTCTACCTTCACAGTTCGCAGTTACGTGAATTGAACATGCGTGTTTTAAAAATGAAGATCAAGTCACCTTTTACAATTGTTAACAGCATGTTGACTCACTTTTCTAATATATTCCTGTAACATTACACTCTAGTATCCTTAAATGTTTACATTTTTCTTTTTTACCAAGTGAAAATTCAGAGAGCCATCAAAGGTATAAGTGATTTAAATTGTTTGGATCCCTGATTTTGTGAATTTTGATGCTCCTGGTGTGTGCTCCTTTTGTTTTCCTCCTCGAAAACGTCAACCTGCCCAGATTTAGATTTGCAAGCAAAATTATTGTTAACACTTTACAATAAGGGTCCCTTTATTAACGTTACTTAGTGCATTATTAAGCATTAATAAACTACTAAATAAAATGATTAAGTTGTGGTTCACTGAAAAAGTGTTTTTCATGCAGGCTGAATGTGAAAATACCGGTAGTCTCCTACACCTATTTTGACTTAGCTTCTGATGAAAAATAGACAGTGAAATGCTTGGAATTGAAAAGCAAGTTCAAGTTTATTTATAAAGCCCCTTCCTACCCCCAGTCAAAGGGGCCCAAGGTGCTGAAAATAATGGAAAAACAACAAAAACACAATCAAACAGCTATGTAAAAACTACAGAAATATAACATTCAAAGATGAGTTAGAAAACTGTAAAACAACAATGATGATCAAAACATTAAAACATCAGTAGAAAACTTAAGAAATAGCTTTAAGACACACACAAACCTTCATAAATCTGCTGTGAATTTGCATTCAGGGCCTCGGCCATCTTGGCTTGCACCCGCCCACAGGAGGGCTTTTATTTTCATTTTTATTCTATTTTTTGTAGCGAGGAGAGAAAGCGGAGATTGTCTTGGTGATAGTGACATTGTAACATGGATGAACGCGTCCGGTTAGCCAATCAGAAGCGAGGTGTGTGCATATCAATAATAAGTACGCCAGCAGTTTTCAACCCACCTCTGCCCCAGCAATTCTTCTGCATCTCATAACAGGAGCATCATAGCTTTTATTTATTGATTCATAAGGCATTGATTAATGAGAACACTGCAAATGTATTGAATAAATGAGTAAACCACACCTTTAACAACTGCTTAGCCATATTATATAATACATAACTAAGCAGACACCCCCTCCCCCAGCCCCATGTCGTAACTTTAAGGACAATTAATGGTTAACAAAATCAGGGGATCATTTGTTTATTAATGCTTAATAATGCACTAAGTAATGTTAATAAAGGGATCCTTATTGTAAAGTGTCACCAAATTAATATTTTTATTTCTGTTTAATATGAACAGAAATAATGTTTTGCGTTAAGATTTTGTCTCCTGCAGTTTTAACTTATCTGCTGATCTCTCCCGAACTGACATCACCTGCATCTGATTGTCAGCCATTGTTCACCCCCACCCCCACCCCCACCACCCCCCACCCCCACGTGAAAACATCATTAAAACGTGTTTGTATTTTAACTGATTTCAAATATTAAATGTCCAGTAAAAACTTTCAAATAAACAAGCATTGATGCTTATAGGGAGCTTAAGTCACTTCCTCACCACGGGTCCCCAGAAGAATGAAAAAATGAATGCAAGTCAATGGGGCTAAAAACACTATTTTCTAATCCGCTTGTTTTGGGCCATGGATTTCACATACGATGTTCGAGAACTTTAAAGACACATTCTGATACCAAGAACGCACTTATTTTCGAACGGGGGAAATGTTATTTTAGGTTTTGCATGAAAATAAGTCCAGGACTGCAAATGCACTTAACGAAGGTGACGTCATCAAACCAGACACGGAGAAAACTGAGGGAAAAGGCTGTAAGTTCAGCAAACTTCCCACAGGAGGAAAGAACCACCATAAATCTGGTCATTTGGTAAGTAGCAGCTATAGCTCCAAGCTAATAAATCTTAAAGTACGTGACTGTCGTGGTCAAAACACCCATCATTACTTTTAATTTAAATTGCAGTACAACATATGTGTGATCCAGGGCGTAAGGCAAAGCGGATTAGAAAATAGCGTTTTTAGCCCCGTTGACTTGCATTCATTTTTTCATTCTTCCGGGGACCCGTGATGCGGAAGTGACTTAGGCTCCCTATTGTATCTTGAACAAACCACAACCTGCATAAAACATGTAGTTAATGTTTATATATGATTTGTGAAGTTTGTGAATGTTCAAGACTTTTGGGTTTCTAATGAGCCAAATGATGCTTGTATCCGAAATAAATGCATTTCATACAAATTTCTTAATGCTAAAAATCAAGATTTCAGGGAGGAAAGAAAATTTATCAATTGCCTCTTTTCTACTGAATTCATTTTCATTTTGTTAATCAAGACTGACCATTTCTCTGCAACCTCATTTTTACAGATCATCTAATAGTAAGATGTACAAACTTGACCTAATAGAAAAGATGCCCTTTGACCACAAAAAAGAGAACATTTAAAACCAAAGACTTTACTTCTTATTAAATGTAGCCATCATGATTTTCCCACATCAGCAGCCAAATCCACCCCCTCTCTCATCTGTATTCTGTTTGATTTCAGCCATGCGAGAAACCAAGGAGGCCCTGGAGAATGTCAGTGTGTCTCTGGTGGTCTTGCAGGAAGGAGCAGGGAAACTAAACTTCAACCTGAGCCAAGTCCGCAACAGGATCAACCGAACCCTCAATGACCCAGGCTGTCACGATGAGGAATCAGACGCTACTACGGCCCAGCTGTGCAACAACATACGCCTGTCACTCTCACAACTACAGATTAGTGCAAATTTCACCCGGGTACAAAGCAAGACAATCACTCTCTCTATTATGTTTATGTTTATGTTTATGTATTTAGCAGACGCTTTTGTCCAAAGCAACTTACAAGTGATAATCGGCATGTTGCCCTTGAGGCTAACAACAACAAACAACTTGACATCAGTCAAGGAGAGGAGGGAACAAGGAGTGGACAGTAGAGAGGGGGGACAGGTGCAGGGAGGGTGCTAGTTTAGAAGATGCTCTCTGAAGAGCAGGGTCTTCAGGAGTTTCTTGAAAATTGAAAAGGAAGCCCCTCTTCTGGTAGTGCTTGGTAGGTCATTCCACATTTGTGGAACGATGCATGAGAAGAGTCTGGATTGTCCTGAGCGTGGTGTAGGCACTGCTAGCTGACGATCCTGTGATGACCGGAGCGGCCGGGCCGAGACGTACGCCTTTGCAAGAGGATTCAGGTAGATGGGAGCCGTACCATCTCAGACTTTGTATGCTAGTGTTAGCAATTTGAATTTGATGCGTGCTGCTAGCGGTAGCCAGTGGAGCTCAATGAACAGAGGGGTGACATGTGCTCTTTTTGGCTGATTGAAGACCAGACGAGCCGCTGCGTTCTGGACCATTTGAAGAGGTCTCACAGTACAGCCTGGAAGACCAGTTAGAAGGGCATTGCAGTAATCGAGACAGGAGATGACAGTAGATTGCACCAGGAGCTGGGTGGCATTTTGTGTTAGGTATGGTCTGATCTTTCGTATGTTATACAGCGCAAAGCGGCATGAACAAACAACAGAGGTAACATGATCTTTAAAGGTCAGGTGTTCATCAATAACAACACCCAGATTTCGAACTGCCTTTGAAGGAGCCAGAGATAGGAAGTCATTTTGGATTGAGATATTGTGCTATATGGATGGTTTTGCTGGGATGACAAGTAGTTCAGTTTTAGAGAGGTTGAGTTGGAGATGGTGGGATTTCATTATTACTGTCCTACCATGTGGTGTGTTGCATTTAGTAGCTATGTTTATGTTCGAACAAAATAAAAAGACAGAATTAAGTACTGACAATTTGCTTAAATAATATTTATTAAATGTTTCTTTTCTTTCTTAAGTTTTTTTTCTTAAGTTATAATAATTTTATGGTTGATACCAAACACATTTATGGCACCTAAAGCAATCAGTTTTATTTTGACAGTTTCAGAACCTTCCAGAATGAGCTGTTTCAGGGCTCTGTCACTTTAAGACAACAAGCCAGATCTGGCCACATCCACCCATGCCCCACTTAGGCTGCTATAAGCTGAGAAGCTCCTATACCAGAGAGGGGCTCGGAGTAGAGCCGCTGTTCTTTTAGCAGCAGCTCTCTCTAACACGTGAGAGGTGATTCTAGTCTATTTTCAGTAAAGCCCTCTTGGTGATGTCACAAATGGGAGTTGTTTTGAAACGGCTTGTTTTAGGCCTTAATTTCTAAAACCAAATACAGAAAATTGATGGTTGCATTTTTTTAAGTTTAGAGGAAGTACACCCACATAGCAGTGATTCAAAACTGAATTTTGCATTATACGTCCCCTTTAATCACAGACATTCTTTTCATCTGAGGTCATGATTTAACATGTTCAGCCTGAAAGAAAGCTAAACATCTCTAAAGTTAAAAACTGCTCTAAATTCAAACTTTCAGTTTCTTATATTCTACTGTAAGCTGGAGTTTACAACACCAACCCGCCCCCCAAAAGCTGATATTAGCCAAGAAGCTCCTATATCCAGAAGGGGCTCCTGCAGCGGCAGCCCTCTCACACATCAGAGATGGTTTTACACTAATTTCCCAGCTTGTGACATCCCAAATGGGAACTTGTTTTAGGCACATCATTCCTAATAAAACACTGACAGAAAATAGATAGGTGTGTTGTTTTCACATTTGGAGTGTGTATAGAGGCAGTAGAAACACACATGGCCTCACAACAGGATACAAAAGGTGAGTTTCGCATAATATGTCCCCATTAGTGAAAGTACTGTCAAATGTAAACATGAATTAAAAATGGTTCTGAACATTTCAACATAAGAAGGCTGTAAAAAGATTTTTAAAACTGTCCAAATTGTAAATTTTGTTGTTTATTTTAAAAACTTTATTAACTTTTTTTTTCTTGACTCTTTGCCACTTTGACCTTTTCACTTCAGCTCTTCATTAAAGGTGATCTTACTTTACTATGTGTGTTTAGCTACCAAATGTGAACCCCCAAATGGAAAAGATGAACAATTTACAGAAAACAAATCTCGGTGCAATCGTCTATAAGGTAAGATTTTAATGTAAATCTCTTCATTTACAATTGAAAATTCACATTCTGTTTTTATCATTGTCATTTTAACAATGTGTTAGTTTAGCTTAGCTTGAGTTTATTGTACAAGGACAGCACAAAAGGCAAAATAAAGTAAACTTTTGCTTCACTCACACACTCACACACACACACACACACACACACACACACACACACACACACACACACACACACACACACACACACACACACACACATACACACACACATATTCACATGGTACTTTGCCATATTTAAAGCATTTTAAAATCTCAGCTAAATCTAAAAAACTCTTCATTTCACAGGGGTTTTCCTCACTTAACGACACACCACATGTGGTGATTGAACAGACCAGAAGTGTCGTCAACAGTAAGTGATTGATTTAATATTTATTTTTCCTAACAGTAAACACAGATTGAATATTTTCTGCATTTATTGGTTAAACTGAGGGATATTTTTATTCTTTAGCATTTCTTCTTTTGTCTTGCAAGTCTGAGGATGAAGAGGAAGACTTTAGAAACAAATCTCCTGCTAAATTATTCAATTTAAAACATACTTTGCTATCTATTTCTATTCTTGTCATTAGGAAACCACATGTTTAAATATAAATGTGAATAAATTTGGATCACCGTTGACAGATACATGAATGGTTCCCGCAGCTTCATTCAGCTTCATTCATAGATTACAACTAATTACAATAACTGGTGTTGGTTTCAGATGTCCAGAACTTGATGGACGGAATTGGCAACAACATCAGCAGCTTTTCCAAAGGATTTCCTGTGCAGACATGTTTGTCCAACTTTACTATCTTCATCAGCCATGCACATGCCAAGATTGAAGATTACTATCCTGAAATTGATAAAATGGACTTTTACAGGTAAACCAACCTTCTAAAATTAATATGCATGAGTTTGCATACAGTGTTTGACTTTAAAAATACCTTTAATAGCCTAGAAATCTAGACAAGCCATGGCAAAAGTTTTAGCTATCCAACACTCCATTGTAGCCTCAGCAGGACTACCATTAGCTTGGCTAAGTGTAGGCCGGGCCAATCACAGGACTATATGTTTGTAGAACGACGCTTGACCCACTTAGCAAGGCGGAGCAATTTTTTTTTTTTGCCATGACAGCAGAGCTGCGACAGAGCAAGAAAACAAAGATGGTGGCGGCTCAGGAATGGCACTCGTTTGAAACGGCTTTGGCACCAACTTTGGATAATTTAGACTTAGGCAATTGTTTGCAACATGCAGTTAGAGGTACTTAGGTCATTTATTTCTAGAAATGATGTATTTGACTGTTGATATGAATTCAAAATGTTGTCCTTTCCTCTGATTGGTCCTAGCTCTGACCAATTGTGTGCAGAGACAGCTTGAAAGATTCCGTTCCTACAACCGAGCTCTGTCTATGTGTTGTAGCCAGTCATATATTTACATATATAGGACGGCTTGCCAGGCTAATCTTCACCACTTATAAAGCATTTTTAACTGTGCATCATCAGGATACATAAGATCAGTTATGTAAAATAAAATCTCATTTAAACAGTTTTACTGTAAATGATGTTTTATAAAAACTGTGACTCTTCCACATACCCCATTTTTCTCCACTTATCCGGGTTTGGGATGCTAGGGCAGGAGCCCAGGGAACTCGATGGGATCCCAAGGCTTTCCTGGACCAAACATTTCCATAGAGATTTAAGCCCTTGAGCACATTCCTGGTTAACCTGGGAGGCTCCTTCCTGCAGAGTGTGCTCATAACCATAGGTAAATCAAGAGCTTTGCTTTCTGGCTTAGCTACAGCTTGACCACAACAGATCAGTCTAGCAGCTGAACACCACTCCAATCTGCTTTGTTGATTTCCCACTCTCTTCTTCCATCACTCTTGAACATAATCCTAAAATACGTAGACTCTCCCACTTAAGGAAGGGCTTCTCTCCTGGCCAAACGTTGGCAATCTGCTCTTTTCTAAGAGCAATGACCTCAGATTTAGAGCTATCGCTAATCAAATAGAGTCACACACCACTGCAAACCTCCAGAGCAAGAGCTGAAGATAATAGATTAAGCTAAGAGGACCACTTCCTTCACGAACAGCACAGATAAAAATGAGACAATAACTATATTTGTCTGTTTTAGATTATACATTTAGATGCATTTTAAATGTTTTGATAACTTTTTAACTTGGGTGGATATCAGACCATATTAAGCTCACTTGGTTTTAACTTTAATCTTTGAAAATGCTTCACTATAGGTAAAAATAATACTTTATCTTTTTTCCCACCAAAATATTCTGCATTGCTTATTTATTTTTGTTTTACAAACTCCAGAAAAGTTTTTTTTTATTGCAAAGTTTTAAAAAACAGCTGTCATCTGCAGCTGGAGCTCATTTCCTGGTTACATTGTGGTAGGCCACTCTGAACAAGATTTCTGACATTTGATGGATGTTTGCAGATGGATTGGCTGCATCACCCTTTGCTGCATGGTGGTCCTGGTCTTGGCGTTCAACTACCTCGGTCTACTGTGTGGCACTCTGGGATACGACAAGCACGCCTCACCTACAACACGAGGATGCATCTCCAACACAGGAGGAACACTGCTCATGGCGTAAGTCCACTTGGCAAATAAACAATCCAGCTGTTGTTTCGTGTTCCGGTTTATTGTCCTGTTACCAGTCAGGTTACAATACTTAAAAAAACACCTGAATGAATGTTAAAAGTCTTGCAGAGTATAAGAAACTATAATAAAGCTAAATCAATTTTGAAAACAAAACAAAAAAAGTTCTGGTCAATCTCAGCATTACCTGTAACATCTGTCTGTTCTCTCCAGCGGCGTTGGATTCAGCTTAATTTTCTCCTGGGTGCTCATGGGAGTGGTGACAGTCTTGTTCTTGGCCGGAGGAAACATGGAGAAACTCATCTGTGAACCATTTCAGACCAAAGAGCTCTTTAAGGCGAGTCAATTTAAAAGGAACACTTGCAACAAAGAGTGAAGGTCAAGGATTCAAAAATCCCTAACTGAAAATGTGAGAGCAGGTATGTAAAAAGTGTGGCTCGGGGTCCACTGGTGGCACTCCACCGGTGGAACGTTCTGCATCCGGCTGTGGATGGACACTGTTTTCTGTTTGTTAATCTAATTCATGAAGCACTTTGGTCACCCCTGTTGTTTGTGCTTTAGACATTAATTCGGTTTGTAAACCTGCACCGCTGCATTACAGTTTGTTTTTTCTTTAATGGAAAACAGACAAGAGTGGTTGTTTCTCTTAGTAATGCTCATTGTGTCTGATCTGGTTGTTGCTGTGGTCCCGCAATCATCATTAAAGTCAAATATAGCCCCAAACATGCCAGTTTCTAAAACTATAGAATTCAATAATACATTTGTTTTCTATTTTCTTCATTTGTATTTGTAGACTATATAAAAATTTAGTTGTTGTTTTCTTGAGTAGAGAATAAAAATAGAAGCTGAAATGGGCATAAGTTTTAGTTACTCTGCTTGTTGTGTGAAAAAGGAAAGGCCAGTGATGGAGAATTTTAGTAAGCAATCTACTTATGTTAATCTTAACAAGTATATACAATGAAGGAAGTTTTGCTTTGTTTTTGTTTTGTAAAAAAAATGAAACAATAATACATTTCAGACTCCGAAAAAAAAGAAAATCGTTAAAGTTTCTGATCCCAACATCTCTTTGTACATCAGGTTGTGGACACCCCTTATTTGATCCAACCTGAGTGGAGGAATTTCATCCCTGGCTACTTGTACAATGACTCCCACCTGGAGCTGACTGCAGAAAGCTTATACAGGTACCAAATACTCCGAATTCATGGTCTATGCTGTTCACATGTGCAACCCAAATCTCCTCTATAATTTCTCAGTGTGTGTGTGTGTGTGTGTGTGTGTGTGTGTGTGTGTGTGTGTGTGTGTGTGTGTGTGTGTGTGTGTGTGTGTGTGTGTAAGCAACACAAGTTGATATGACTTATTCAAGTGTATAAAAACAACCAAAAATCGGCACAGCAGAGTTTCTAACAGAGTTTCTAGTGATGTTGTTACAGGCCTTTTGACACAGTCATTGCTCCTCTCATCAAGCGTCCCACTGAAGATCTCATTTCCACGGATGGAGACGCAAATGAGCAGTTTGCCGTTAACCGGCGTAGCTAATTATCGTTTCTGCTCTATCAGAGCTGCTTTTCTTCAGTCTCTTTCTTTGTGATTGCACAAGCTTTCATCATCACTCTCCACGATGAGCGTTCATCAGTATGTTGGGATGGCAAACTCAAACTCATATTTACAAATAGAGCAAGTCTTTACTCGTTAATAAGGAGCATGGCTGGCACGGCGGGGCTGTTTGATGTCTGCCTAAATGTTATCACAGCATGTTTTATTTTTAATGTATTAGACAAGATCTCTGGCTCTTGGGGGGGCGTGTATTGTTTCTTATCTGGGAAGGTGTCAGCCATGTAGTTCCAGTCAGTCTCACATGGTGGCAGCAAAAAATTTCATTATGACAGAATCTCTCTCTCTCTCTCTCTCTCTCTCTCTCTCTCTCTCTCTCTCTCTCTCTCTCTCTCTCCCCCCTCCCTCCCTCTCTCTCTCTCTCTCTCTCTCTCTCTCTCTCTCTCCCCCCTCCCTCCCCCCCCCCTCTCTCTCTCTCTCTCTCTCTCTCTCCCCCCCTCCCTCCCCCCCCCCCCCACTCTCTCTCTCTCTCTCTCTCTCTCTCTCTCTCTCTCTCTCTCTCTCTCTCCTCTCTCTCTCTCTCTCTCTCTCTCTCTCTCTCCGTGTGTATTGTTTTATTTTAGTACCTGCAAACAGAACAGAGGCATCTACTCTGCCATGCGTCTGGACAAAGTCTTCAACATCTCATCTTTCCTGAACACAACAGTGGTTAGTGTCCTTGACACACGACAGAAGTAGAAATTAGTTTCTTCGTGACTGTCATCGCTCATGTTTTTTTAAAATACATATAAACTGGAATTTTAAACATCACAACACCAACTTGTAACGTGTGTGGGAAAAAGATGAAAAAAGGACAGATGTCATCCGGTGACATGGTTTTATAGGATGTGACCTTTCTGCTCAAGTAAAACATACAGACAGCAGCAGAGCACAACTTTACAATGATTATGATGATGTCAGATCCTAAACATGTACAAAAATGAAAGCATCAACAACATCCTCACATGTGTTTTATTTAAAAAGAAAAACTAATTTTTAAAAGTTTACATGTGCCCACCATGTGAAAATACATATTTGAATTAAAACTTTATTGATCCTTTTTTGGGAAATGTACTTGTCACGAAGCAGCTTCAGCAATAACAAGGGAAGAAAACGGATCCAAAAATAGAGAAGGACATTTAACTTTCAACAATTTCTTGAATAATCTATAGCTTGTTAAACCATACAGTCAAACTGATTTTACAACCCAGAAATCACAGGATCTCTCAGATACTTAATCAGGTTTTGCTGCTAAACATCTAGCTTACATTCCATCATTTCATTCATACTTTGTCATGTACAATCATTAGTTTAGAAAAATGGAATTAAATTCCTTTTTATAAACTACATCCTTGACTCTGTCTGAATTAATATGAAGTGTGTGTTCCCTGAATAGTCAAAGAACCTAAGGTAATATTACATATCCAAAGACCAATCAGATTGATTATTCATATTTATATGGAATATCACAGCTTATTGATCATTTAACAAATGTGTAACATAATCTAACACGCTACATACTACCCTGCACTTAACAGCATAATGCATATTTTTTTTAAAGAAGAGATTTGAACAGAAAAATATTCAGACATTTTAAATCAGGCTCTAATCTGTTCCATGGTTCAACACCACAAACTGATATTGCAAAACTTCTGCTGGAAGTTCTTACTATTGTTTACTATTTGGTTTCACTTCTTCCTCAGCTTACTTTAATATTCCCCCTGCTGCCCATCCAAGCAGCTCATCAGATTAGCATGCCTTAGCCGTTACTCCAGCACACCTGAAACATTAATAACCTTTGTTCTGTTTCTTTCTCACCTCGGGCTAGCCACCTGCCCAAGACGGTCTGTGCTTTCCTGCCAACTGGCAATTCAATCTTAGCTCCAAGTTCCAGCAGCTGATTGGTCCCATGCCATACATGTAGCTGGAACTTGATCATTTGTCTTCATTACTGGTAGAAAATCTTATAAGAACTTCCTGAAACCTAGGGCTTTTATAATTATGTCTTGTAGAAGCTACTAGTTACAAATCTGGGGGAGAAACGAACCAGATGAAACATTTCTCATTTTACCCCCCCCACCACCACCACCACCACCACCACTGTCCTACTGGGTGTGGCCCTGTGAGGAAAGTTTACCATTCAGCAGGATTGATGGTTTATCCCTTAAGGTTCATGTGGCAGGAGTGAGGTGATGCTCACTAATTTGTAATAATAATAATAATAATAATAATAATAGTCTGTGTTAAACATTTATGAAAAATGTTCCTCCATCTTTTTTTTCATCTACCAAATTAAAAAAACATGTACATTTATAATCCATCAAATTGCTAATTTACTGTTTTTAACATTTTCCTAAAAGTTATCAATAAATATTTGAACTTTGAAAAAGATGCTGCTTTACTCTAAAGGTAAATCATTATGCATCAGTTTTTATGTAAAAACAAAAACATTTAATCATACAGAAATCTGAGTTTATTGTCTACATGTTTTTTTCTCTTTTATCTAGATTTTTTTCTTTTGGTTTCATGACTAGATTCTATTTTGTTTTCTTTGCCATTTTCTTTCATAAAATATGTTCTGCCAAAAAGTACTTCAGTATGCTTCCTGCTTTCAGAAATAAAAGAAGACTGTCTAACTTGCTTTTACTGTTAGACCACTTAGCAGTGCAATAAGGAAAATCAAATCCCGATTTAGTTCAACGGCCTCCAAAATAGGCTGTAAAACTGTATTTTTTATTTGTAATGGTTTCTTTGTATCAAGACATTGTTGTGTTTGGAAACACATCAATAAGAAAATAAAAATATAAGTTCAAAAAGAAAACTGGGAAAACAAACATCAAGAAAGAAACATCCAAACCACAAATGTGAGATCCAAGTGTTAACATTTGTTTTGTCCTTTTTCCACACCCTCTGTGTCTTTGTTTTGTGGAACTGCCTTCAATAATTCCCAGTTTTTGTTGCCGTAAACCACAAGTAATAAAAACTTGGAATTATGAGGCCAGGGATGGCTCTAGCGTTCACGTAGAGAGATTAAAGCTGCTGACGTGTCTGGTTGGGTTTACAGTTCACTAAGGATGTGGTGGGTCAACTGGACAATGTCAAGATTGACCTGAGAGGGATAATCCTGTTAGAGGCCGAGGGGAAGCAGAACCTCCGCGATTTCTCTGAAGCCGGCCTGTCAGAGATCAACTACGCTGACTACCTGGAAGAGGTGATGCAAAACACGACAGCATTGTGTTGGCATGTTCACAGAAGTAAAAACAGCCATAGAACAGTTTAGTCAACACTAAGGGTAAATAAAGGAATAAAAACAACACTAAACATGGCCTACACATGTAAAGCTCTTTTTCACCTCCTCTGCCGTCATTTAGCATGAGGCAGGCCGTCTGGTTTATATGGATGTGTGCTGTGAAATGACGCTGGGTTCTGCTGAGGACCACTGAAGCTCAGTTATCCAAAACAGATCCTGCCAAGGCAAAGGGACCTGGGACTTGGCATTCACTGTCTTCTCCTGCCTAAACTGTCAGGTCCACTTAGGTTTTAGGCCTGAAAGCCTGGAGAAAAAGTTCTAGTCGGCCTTAGTATACAAAACACCCACTCCCGTCAGGATGTGGGATTTTTACGTCCAGGCTCAACAAGCGCAGTCATGCAATAGAAAAACAATTTTCTATTATTGTTTGATTCATGACTGAGATGTTTTTACTTTTAGGAGGCAAATTTAAAATGTCACGTTTACCTAATAAAACTCAGGCTGGGTGATTGTTTCATCTACTACTCAAACACAACATCATGATCCTGTTCGTTGATCTCTTCCTGTCTTTAGGTGAATAAAGGAGTTACTGCAGTTGATGTGCTCTCATTTGCCAAAGAGCTGGAGTCTCAGACAGACCTCATGGTAAGAACTCATATTTAGCTGCTGTAGCTAGTTAACGCTCATTCACTAATTTAATTACTTATGTTCATGTTCTCAAAGCTTAATTTACCTTTTGAAATTCAATTAAAACACATGTTGCTAGCGATCAGTGTTGGGAGTAACGCGGTACAAAAGTAATTAACTACTGTAATGCATTGCTTTTTGCTGTAATGTGGTAATGTAAGGCATTACAGGGAAAGAATATGGTAATATTTACTCGGTACAAGTGTCAGTAACGCGGTAATTACAACGCATTTTTAAACCCAGAATCAAGATGCGGGTTTCCTAAAAATTCAAACTGCGGGAAGCCTGAAAAAAGATCCAGTATCTGCATATATTACGTCATTTATGGACTCAGCTTTGCGGGCATTCTATGAGCAGAGAGGACGCAGCGGTAATGGCTCAAATACTCCAGCTGTGGCCTGCGCGTGGCCGCTGTTATATTCACAAACACAAAACAACGTAATTCGTTTGCGATTGTTTATATCCGCCCATATTCTCTGGTACTTCATGTACTTTTCAGCTGAGTTCATAATCTGTGCGCCGGTGATTTCAACTGATTACTGCAGGAGCGCAGCGCGAAGCTTTTTTATTTTTTATTTTTTGTGTTCGGTAGATCCCTTTGGCTGTTTAGTTAGAAAGTAGGAAATCTAGGAAACAGTTTTTCTGGAAGACGGAGAAAAGATGCAGCATGCAGGAAGGTTAGAGAGAGAAAGGGCAGAAAGTTATTCAAATAAAATCAAGAAAACAAAACAAAGTGCTTGAAAAGAAAAAAGTAGGTAGATTTATCCCCAATACACATTTTTACCAGTGAAAAGCAATAATATATCAGCATTTTAATATTTATACATGTGATAGAATCAGATCACCCCAGAAGTCAGTCCCACATCCAGGGCCGTATCAAGGCAATTGGGGACCAAGGCAAATATAGGCTTGGAGCCCCCACCACCTCACTCCCTGCTCAGTTAATATAAGATGGCAGCGTGCTGAGAGTACAGATTGTTGTTGCTTTTATTTAGTAAACAATCATTTTAAAGCACTGTTATTATATCTGACTGTTTTTAACAGCAATCCTAGCTCAGACACCACATCACTTTCCACACATATGTCGTGAGCTCACTGAGCGTCACATTACCAGATTCATATTGAAGTTGTTTTGGTGAAAGTAACTTAAAGTAATGCAAAAGTAGTGTAATGCCTTACCTTTTAAAATCAGTAATATTGTAATGTAATTAATTACTTTAAAATGAGGGTAACAAGTAATAAATAATGCATTACAGTTTTGAAGGAACTTGCGCAACACTGATAGCGATGGTGGCCTTGTGGTATATCCTCAGTTATGCTCTCCTGTGGATTGCCTGGAAAGGGCAGACTAAAAACAAGAATTAGAGTCCTGAATGTGATTTTTTACAAACGCCTGCCATTTAGAACGGATTACAGGTGAAACTAAATACATTTGAATATCATGTAAAAGTTCCTTTTTTATCAGTAATTCATCTTAAAAGGTGAATGTGAAACAGAATCACTACATGCAAATACAGATATTTCAGCCTTTATTTGTTATAATTATGATGATTATGGTTTACAGCTTCTGAAAACCCCACATTCACAATCTCAGACAATTGGAATATTGTGAAAAGGTTCAATATTCTAGACTCATAGTGTCACACTCTGATCAGCTATTGAACCCAACACCTGCAACGGGTTCCCGAGCCTTTAGACGGTCTCTTTGTCTAAGATGAATTGACATAAATGGACATTTGCACCTTGTTCTCCTTTTTCAAGTTTCACCTGAGGTGAAAGCATGTGTCTCTTTTCCTGTTGCCACTGGTGGATAAACAGGAGAACGATAACAGGCCGTTGTGTTATGAGACAGTGAAGTAAAAATCTCTGTGGATATCAGCCGTCTCACGGATGAGTGGTTTCTAGTTTCTCCCAGATTTTTTGGGACAGGCAACAATTGCTTGTTTGTTTGTGCTTTACAGCCCAGGGGAGCTCTGCAGGCATCTCTGAAAGCCCATGTCGGCACTCTGCAGCAGATCCACAGACAACAAATCGTCCCGATGGAGCAGGCCATGGTAAGACCACTGTGTGTCTCACATTTCAGTTCAAATCAAATTCAATTAAAAAATACTTTATTAATCCCAGAGAGAAATTGATTTCAGCTTAAATTGGTTTTAGGGTCAGCCAGATTTGAAGTCATCCACCCAGAACTGCACAGAAACAAAGACTGACTAATAGCTTCTTTTTTTTTTTTTGCTTACTTAATTCACTTAAGATGGTCTTGTTCCCTTTTCTGTAAATGCAAAAAGAAGTAACAATCATATCAAAATAATTGCACAGGGAGTTTGTTTACTCCTAGAATTTTGCAACACAATAAATATTAGAAGAAACACAAACCAATTGCCTCCCCTGTGGTGGCATCAAATGACAAATTCTTTATTTGCTGAGCTCTTTTCATGCAGCTGAGAGTAACACAAAGGGCTTTACGGCAAATAAAACTAGACTAAACTAATAAATCTGCAACCACTGAGAAAATCAAACTAAAGCAATAATAACTGTAAATCTAATCAACATTGATGACCTTAAGAAACGTTCAAATTCAGCAAATACCCTTGTGTTAATGAGCAAACACCAGAGATAAATTAAATAATATTGCATTTAAAAATTTTAAAAGAATATGAAACAAAAATAGAAATTGAAAGGCTCTAAAACTTTCAAGAAATCTAAGTATGTTTTTACTTTAGAAAATAAATAATTAGGAATACTGCAACTAAATAAACTGTAATGATTATATTAAACAATAAGCAGATTCCTTCCAATAAATATTAACAGCAATAGTGTTTTGTCTGCAGACAAATGGTAAGTCTCAACACTTTATAAATAATAAACTATATATAATCTTTTAAAAGTGCATTATTATTGTAAATTTGTTTTCTAATTAAATAAATAAAAATTTGATTGTGGTTTAAAAATGAGAAGAAAATACCTAATAAAGTGTAAATAATCATTATAGAGTTTTATTGAGGTATGTCCTACAGGGTTTGGATCTTATTTACAATGTTATGCTGCCATAAAAAGCTTTTTCCTGTGCCCTAAAGATCTTTATTTCTATAAAGTTTGTGCATTAAATGATAAACAACCATTATAGAGAACATGCTCAGTTAATTTCAACCTTTTAGAGACTTCCAGCTCATTATTTTGGTTTTATTGATCACTTGTCAGCCAGAATGTCCTTTGAGTGAAAAGGCCCATAAGACAAAAACCACATTAATGAGTCTGCAATGAAAGATACAGTTAGTCACCAACTGTTGGGTGGACATTTCCTCAGAGACCAATGTTTCCTTTAATCCAAAGCAGGTCCCAAAACCACAGGGAATATCAAACTTAGGTTAGATGTGAGTGATGAAATGCTTTGGCTTTTAAATTAAAATATTCACGAGTCAATCACCCAGCTTGTACAGCTGCAAGTGTTGTCCTCTAACATATAAGTTTTACAATGTGTTGTTGTTTTGTTTTTCCTCATTCATCTTCAAGAAATATGTTAGAGCAAGGGTAAGCGAAGATGTGTTCCTCCTAAGCATTTAATGTCTTTATTATGTAGATATTAAAGAAAAACTGTGGCTTTCAGATGGAAAGCTGTTTTATCAGTAAATGATTCCATTATTTAAAGACCAAGTTCACTGAGTTATAATTTTGTATTTGTTATTTTTTAAGTATTATCGGCCTCTCTGACTTTAACATGAGGGCTGAATGTGAAAAAAGCCCTCTACTCGTATTTCTTGCCTTAGCCACCGATAAAAAGTAGACAGAGAAATGCTCGGATTAGAAAAGCCTGTGACATTAGCACGTCATAATGTCAAATTAGCATCTTGACTTGTGAAATGTAATGAGGAAAGCTGTTGTTGATTTAGTGTCCAGGAGAGAACAGAGCATGTCTAGTCTAGTAGAAGCTAACCATTAGCATTAGCAACTCCACAAAACAGCAGAACTACTTGTGGAGATAATACATCAACATTGCAGAGCAAACAGCGTCTGTACAGTTGCGTTGAGTTAGCCAATCAGAAGTGAGATATCCGAATATCAGGAAATAACCCTTATTTCACACTGGAAGCATCAGAGGCACGGAACGTCAGCAGAACATCACCGGTTCTAATAGAATCTATTATAGTCTATGGGGATGTTTCAAACCAGCCACAACGTAGAAGTTTTCAGGCACATCCCAGAATGAGCAAGCCACGCTGCGCTGCTGAAGAGAAGTTCGGGCAGCAGTAGCTCAATAGGTTGAGCGGGTTGTCCAGGAATCGGAAGGTTGCAGGTTCGATCCCGGCTCCGACAGAGAATTCTGCTGTTGTGTCCTTGGGCAAGACACTTAACCCACCTTGCCTGCTGGTGGTGGTCGGAGGGACCGGTGGCGCCTGTGCTCGGCAGCCTCGCCTTTGTCAGTGCGCCCCAGGGCTGCTGTGACTACGTTGTAGCTCATCACCACCAGTGTATGAATGACTGTGTGAATGGATGAATGATACACTGTAGTGTAAAGCACTTAGGAGTCCTTACTCTGAGAGGCGCTATACAAATGCGGGTCATTTATTATTTATCATTCTATTTTAGCTATGTGTCCCTTCCGGAACACGTCAAGTTCCGCAGTTAACATAGGACTAGACAGGAAATCACGTACGGTTTCAATGTAAAACCACCGGTAATTTTCTAAATAAAAGATTATTACAGCAGCGCTATTTCATATCTATGTAGATTACTTCAATATGGGTGACCCAACGGCTCATTTACGCCATACATTGTTCCAAAAGTACAATGGTGTGTTTTTCTTAGCTTTAACCCTGGCAGTGGAGAGGAACAACATCATATATGACATCAAGCATCGATATTGAACGTGATTTCCTTCTTTTTGGTTTAATGGCGGATGACATAAACGAACCATCAACTTTGAAGTCTCGAGGGATTTTGTGATCTCGTGAGTCGAGCGAGGAAGACGTTCCACGGCCAAGACTCTCCTAGTGTGTACTGGACCGTATTGATGCTCACAAGTAAACCGTTCCACTGCCGTTCCGCGCCACTAATGCCCCCGGTATGAAATAGGGGAAATACTTCAGATCCTGCCATCTTCTTCTCACTTCTTCTCTGGCTTACTTCTAGTTCCTGGAACAGGAGTGCCAGAGAGATGATCCCCCACATTTATTTACTAGACACCACTGCAGATGTGTTGACAAAAATGAGTGAACATGGTCTTTAGGTTGTATGCTGTTGTAAATTGTTATCATACACTCATTGGTGTTTTTATCAGAAGTTTTTGTGCCAAAAGAGTAAACATAAATATCCGCTTAAAGAAAAGAAATACTCATCATCTCTGTCAAAACAAAGCATAAACCGCTTATTTCTTTCCTAGAGTGTGTGCGTGTGTGATTCTGTTTTATGGAATTTCAGATGTTTCTTTCCTTGCATTGTGGGTATTTACTTTTGGTACAAATGTCTTCAGCATGCAGTCGAATGTACGTTTGTGAGTGTTTTTGTGCTACTTTCGATTTTTTTTACCTGCCTATGTAAATGAAAATGACACTAAAATATTTTTTACAACTTCTGAAGACCGCATTGAACCAGAGCATGAGGTTTCTGGAGAGAACGGCCTCCGATCTTCCGGTAAGTCATCCAGCCTCTGAATCTTCAGTCCAGACCTTATTTAATCATAACTTCATCAAAATTATTTCTTCATTTTCTGCAGAACAAAGTCATAGCTGTTCTTGATGCCATTGAAGCTGCTCAATACCTCATTTCTCAAAATGCAACATTTTTAATCCATCGGGTAACTACATGATTATTATTTTAATTGTATTTTTTATTATTTTATACATTGTTGTCATATGCCTTTGATTTCTTCAGGAGACAAGAAAATACACAGCAACCATCATTGGATACTTCCATCAATATATAGAATGGGTCAAAACATCTGTAAGTGTTTTAAGCTGTTTCCCACACACGCTGCAGTTATGGGATGTTTGTATTTTGGCCGCTGTCACGGAGAACCAAAGGCTAGACATTTAGTCATGAAGTTGGAAAACAAAAACTTTCCACGGGACTCATGGAGTAAATTTAGGGAAGACGAATCTAACAGCTACAGCCTCCTTAAATCAGAGGAATTTGTTTTGAGGCACAGCGGTTTTAGCTGTAGGAAGTCCAAGGAATTCCAAACAGAGAAGAAAACAAAATGTTTTTACCCAAAACGTGAAAATGTCTATAAAACCTCTTTCACATAGCCATGTTTTTATTGCTGTTTAAAAGCACTGCGAGTCTTTTGCAATGTTTGTGAGTTGTTATTGACTCAATATGTTTGATTTGTCGTGGGATGACGTTTCCTGCTTGTGTCTTTTGAAGCTGGCCTTGGAGGTGGCTCCCTGCAAGCCCTTCAGCAACATCTTGGACACGGCGGAGATCATGACCTGCGGCTTCTTGGTGGACTCTATGGTATGACTATTGGGGACACGAGGAAACTAATCCCACATAAACAGACTTTTTGGGTTGACTGTAGACCACCAGTAAGCCACAGCATCATGACCTCTATCTGGTGGGTTACATCAGAGCTAAACTACCTTTATGGGTTATATGGCTGTTACTATGACAACACCATATTGTTTGAGGTGCAAATACAACAATAAAGAAGTTGTGATTAAATGGTCAAAGGGCTAATTTAAAGTTTCCCAGCCTTCAAGCTCATAGCATGATTCAAACAGATTTTATAGCAAATGTGATATATATGCAATATAAACAGGATTATTTTGTTTTAAAACTGAAATAAATACTACTAAAATCTACCTTTCAGCACGTGCCTCAAGCTATGTTTATTACAACCTTATGAACTTGTATGCTATTCTTGCTGTGCATTGTGGGTAGCCAGTGACATCAGCACATCTTGATGATTAACAATTTTTAACATATGTGTAAATTGGTAATTAAATATATTGAATCGTTTGTTTTTTCCCCCTTCAGAACACTTTCTGGATGGGCCTGGGCTGCAGTACTCTGTTTCTGCTCCCGAGCATAATCCTAGCAGTCAAACTAGCCAAATACTACCGCAGGATGGACACGGAGGACGTTTACGACGAGTGAGTTGTTGCTCATATTGCGTATTTTATATTTAAATTTATAAAAATGTTTAACACTTTAAATTTCTCAGTAAAATCTAAATTTGTTAATGATTGCAGGACATCATTTTGCTGCTTTTTAAATTTAATTATTTTTTGTCAATTTAGTGATTTTAGTTCCCATCCAAATTTCATAAGACAATTAGTTTTTAGTTATATAACCTATGTGATTACCTCTCAAGCTGTTCTGGTTTCTCCTCCCTGTAGCTCCTCTGTTTCTGGGACTTGGCATTTTACTTTGTGATAACCATTTCTACTATTTCCATTTCCATATCTTTTTTTTTTTTCATTCTCTTACTGTCTGGCACTTAGCACTTTACAAGCAGTCACACATTTATGGATTCCTGCTTCTCCATGTGCTTTTTTTCAGTCTTTGGGTCTCAGTTTTTCTGTAAATTTGCAGATTTTGGTTGCATCCCTTTCCCTGTAATCTGTGCTGGATTACTGGTGACTTTATGATGCATTTCCTCCCCTGAGTCCTGAATTAAAGTCTTTATGTTGCTGTTTTTGTGTATCCTTATAGCATTGAGACAATTCCCATGAAAAAGTAAGACATCTTCCCCACCTCCATCTTTATTTAACCTCTCTTACTCTTTTGTCTTTTTTGTTTCATGTACATAGAGAACTGTTTACTAAACTCTAAACTGGTGCTGTTTTACGTTTTGAAGCTTCAAATTGCTCTAGTGGGTGGATGGTGTGGCTTGTTGTCGTGTGCTAAATTTAAGTGTCCCTTACCTTATATGAAGGGCTTTTGCAATCATTACCTTACAAGTCCACCCGTTTTTAAGAAGTGATGATGTGAATAAAATGCTACAGTTTATACTCAGAGCAAACTTATCCTCTAGCATTCTTCAAAAGTTTAACTACTCACAAAAAAAGACATTTTTAAAAGTTCTGCATGTCATTTTCACCTTTTTGTGTACGACACTTTGTTTTCAGTATGGAAACTGGTAATAATGGTTATCATAGTGAATGCTCGCAAGGTATTCCTAATCCTATGATGACAAGGTACATTTTATAATTATCTTACCAACTGCATGTGGTGGTGGTGGAGGCATGGCTGGGAATCAGTTTTATTATTAAGTTAATGAACGTGCATGCCTGCAGGGGGAGATGATTCATTTCACACACACATTCCCACATGCATGTTTGGAGGTCAAAATAATAAACATTCAAACTGACAAGTGTTTTATTATTTCATTAAAGCTATTTGGAATTGAGCTTAATTCAGTGCTTTCAGAATAATGAAGGATTAAACACATGGAAGCAAAGGAAAGATGGCAGCATTCTTTGTTTTTAGCCTCAACAGGGCAAAGCAAGAAGGAATTAGCCTCAGTCAGCTTCAAGAATGAAAACAAATAAAAAAAACAAGGTTTTTATGAAAAAGGGAAAATACATTTTCAGGTAACTCTTAAAAAAATAAAAATAAAATGATAATATAATTATTTGTGTACTACTGTTAGCTTGCTATAAAATAAATCATGGCGAGTTTTTAATCAAGATTATCTTTTATTTCAAGATTTAAAGTGTTAAAATTCCATTTAAATTATTAAAATTGAATTCATTTTAGACTTAAAATTAGTTTGCTTAAACAAATAATGAAGTTAAAGTTTTAGGTAACTTCACTTGTCATCTGATCAGGTATTCCACATGATGCTCTGTGGTGTAAATGAAATGAATAAAGCAAAAGTAATCTCACATAAAACTGACTTTTACATCTTTCTGCTACCATTTCTTGTCCCTGTAATGTCGTGCTGTGTGGTTTTGGGGGACTCTATCATGTCACTAACTACCTGCATGCTGTGTGATGCTCTGCAACGTTAATCTGCGATGAACAGTTTTTCCTCTTTTCTTCTCATTTAGCCTCAGCCAAAGTCCGATGAATGTACACCTGATCGTTGTGTTCAGAGAGAGGCAAGCATGTCGAGCATTAGTCTGATGCTAAAAAAGGCTTTGATATTTTTGGGGGGCTTTCTTTCTTTTCAACCCAACATCTAACTGCATGTTTTATGATTCTAAGTTGGACGGGGATGAGTTTGAACCGCTGACCTGCTGGAACAGACACAGAGAGCAACACTGCTACATCACATACTAAATTCCTCTTTAAAGGCCAAGTTTACCAAGAAACCATGCTTTACTTGTTTGATCCAGGCTGAATGAGAAAATAGTCTTCTATACCCCTATTTCCTGCTTCATCTTCTGGTAGAAAATATACAGGCGAACACTCAGATCGTTTATGCCAGACATCACAATGTCACTTAACATTCATGGGCTGGCCCATCTTGACACAGGGTTATGTTATACGTTGCAGAGTAAACAGAGTCAGTGGTGGAGTGAGTCATGTTGCTGTTATCCAATCCGAGGCAAGAAGTCACAATTTGAGAAAATAAGACTCCAAATCCTGCTGTCTTCTGCTTCTTTCTGCTCGGACTCACTTTTAGTCCCTGAAACAGGAGCACCGGAGCTTTTTCCCAAAAAGATCCACTCACTTAGCATTATTTTATGATAGAAACCACTGCACATGCATTAAAAAAGAGAACTTGGTCTTTAAAGTAAAACAGGTTTAACTCCAAGATGCTGATTAAAATAGTAGTAGTAAAAAAGTAGGTTTTTGTATAAAATCCTAAATGTTCAGGTAATTTCTTCATCCTTGAGGTGGTTAAACCCACTGAGAATGCTGATGAAGCTGTTTTGCTGTCTGTGTTGTGAACTGCTCAGACCTCCCCTAAAAAACAAGCGATGCAACAGTTTCACGCCATGTTGAAGAAGCTGTTGAATTATCTGGTAATGCTGTGACTTTGTGTATTTTTACTCCTGTGCTGGTAGCGTCCCCACGTATGATACAATGAACAGGTTCCCGCGGGCCTCGGCTCCTCCGAGGCACATCGACTGGTGATAGAACCGGGCCTGGTTCTGGCTCCTGAAAGGTATCAGACAGTCTAACCGCCACCTCTCCTTCTTACAGCTCCTGGCACCACAGTCCCACCTTTATACTCTGTGTTTAACCTGATTTTCAAGCTTGGTTTCTAATTCTCTAACACACATTTACAGCTTGTGTTAATGCTTTTCTGCTTGCTGAAAAACCATCATGGTGAGAATTTAGCATTAAACCATAGTTCCCTGTGAATGTGTGACGAGTCCTGGTTGTGTTTCATGTGCATGTTAACATTTCCTTGTGTTGTAATTACAACAACACGAGTTAATTTTAGTAGCTGTTGTTTGTTTGACATGTTCTGTGTTTTTGGAGACTGAGATGCAGAATTCTGTCTTGTTAGTAAATGGCCTGTATTTGATATAGCGCCTTCTAGAGTCATGGAACCCCCCAAGGTGCTTTACCACACAATCAGTCATTCACCCATTCACACCCTGGTGGTGCCCTGGGGCGCCTTGACAGAGGCGAGTTTGCCGTACACCGGCGCCACCGGTCCCTCTGACCACCACCATTAGGCAAGGTGGACTAAGTGGCTTGCCCAAGGACACAATGACAGCGACAGACTGAGCCTGCAACCTTCCGACTACGGGGCGAGAAATTAACTCCTGTGCCACTTAAAATATGCAAAGAAAACAAAAACACATCCAAGCCAAAATACGTAGCTAAACGCACATACCTTCAAGAGTTTTTAGTTAATAATTAACCTTATTAGTAATCGTTTGACTATGACTTATGAGGAACGATAAGACTCAGGCCAGACACCTACTACAGTAATGGAGGAATAATTTGAACCAGAATAAAGCGGTTCTAGACAGCCCGACTTCATTAAGCTTATCCAAAAGCAAATAATGATTGATTGAATCGAATGTTTTATTAAAATCCCAAAAAAATGGCACCAGACAATAAGCTCTGATCAAAGCCCAGAAATATGTCATTGGCAAATTTGATTAGGGCAGTTGTAGTAGAGAAGTTTTTTTCTAAACCCAGACTCAAACTGAGAGAGTGTCTTGGTAGTGTAGTTATAATTTTCAAAGACTTTAATAACTGAAGTTATTAATGCAGTGGATCTGTAATTATTAAGTTCAGAAGCATCTCCACCCTTATATAGAGGAAAATCTTGGTGCATTTCCATGTGACAGGGACTGAACAAGTGCTTTTTGGAAGATTGAAGGGCAAAGCTAATGGGAGGGAGAGTTCTTGAAATGCAACCTTCATAAATTTATCTGCAATCCCATCCGGACCAAGGGCACTGGAGGATGAAAGTGACCACATTAATTTTGCTGCATTGAAAGGTTGAATTTGTGAGAAAGAAAACTTGCTTGAGGAGATATGTGGTAAAACACCAGATCCAGACCAGTGACAATCTGAATCAGGTTGCTGGGCTTTGGCAAAGTGCAGACTGAAGCCCTCCACATTCTCGTCAAGATCATTGGTGAGACCCCATTAATTCTAAAATAGCTTGTTTTACTGTCAGACTTACCATGAAATTGATTCATTTTGTTCCACAACTGGTTTTGTTCTTAAAATCATTAATCAAACATCCCCTATCAGATTTTGCATCTCTTGTTTTAACGATAAATTGATTTCTCAGTCTTCTGTATTCAGCCCAGTCATCAACATCTTTAGTAAGTCTGGCCAGCTTCCATCAATCCAGGGTAAATGATAACCCTCAACTTTTATACTAATCCATGAAAAATGCTTGTCCAAAATACCACTGAACTCAGAATAAAAAAAATAAACTTGCAAGCATTATCAATATAGGGAATGAGTTTCATTCTTCTCCAGTTAGCCAACTTAAGGAAGTGATCTTAGGGGGAAGACGTCAGGTAATCATTTTCTAGATACAATGAATAATAAAATAACCACTAAGAGAATCAGAAAGAACACCAGTTTTAGACATTTTATTAGGGTGATATGTCACAGTATATGAGAATGTATCAATGATAAAGTAGTTAACGTGCTTCAGGTACATCAGTCACTTCTGGAACTTTTCACTGTGGTTCCTAGTCTGAAGGTCACAGCTCTCTGAAACACATTCAACGTAATACTTCTACTTGTGGTGATACTTTTACTTTTTTTACTTTTATATCTCCAAGAACTGAAAAAATCCATCAATCTTCCACTCAAAAGAAATTCTATGTTATTTTTTACACTTACTTAACATTTAACACTCTTAGATCAATTATATTTTGTATACCTGTGTATAAATAAAAAAAAGACATTTTTAATCTATTTTTTCACTTTTCATCTAAAGATTTTGATGAACACATACAGAAAAGGGCAGAAGCCAAAGTTCTGAATCGATTACAACAACAGAAGTGCCCTGTACTAAAGAGCCAGCTCTTCACATCAACCGTCTGCAGTCTGCTTACTTACTGCTCATTAAAATGATTCTCTTGCAAATTATTAAATTTTAAAATGTTTTTCTTGAGCCAGTATGTGCTAAAATGAGCCTTTCCAGGGTTAATGAAATGTCACTCAGACCCCCACCGCCCTCTGTGGCCAGAATACACTTGCAACTTCAGAGTGCCAGTCCAGTATGTTGGACTTTGAAAAAGAATTGTGCTGACATGCCTGCAGTCTGCTTCCAGCATGTTTTAGATCATGAACACAGTTCATCTGTTTAATTTAGTGACGAGTCACTCCTGTATACACTGAGGAAGGCTGGGGAGACATTTCAGCTGTTGGATTAAGGCGTTAAAACACAAATGCACAGTGGGCAGTGTTGTTTTCTGTTCTACTAAACAGACACTAGGGTGTGCCAAAACTGCCTAGTCTCCCTTTAAAAGAGAGAGAGGAAAAACAACATTAAGCAGAGATCTCAGATTTTAACTGTCCAACATCTACAGCACAGTCCTGAATTGGATCCACAGACAGTTTGACAGCAATTCACACCTGCAGTAACGTGATCTGAATTTGCACTGTTCTGTTGAAACTGATGAGAAGCATGGCAGGTTTGAGATAACCTGGTGACTGAGAAATGTCACCAGTGGTACAAAAGCCACATCAAGGGCTATATAAGTCAATTAATTTTCTCTCATGTACTTAAATCCTAAAAATCTTCACTCAGATTTTTTTTATTATTTCTTTTAAATATACCACTAATGTTACATTTTCAGATGTTATAGGGTCTTCTATGGCAACAGTGTGGCTTTGTGTTGTGAAGTATTATGATTTTAAGTAGATTTGTTCTATACCACATTTTATTAATCACAAAGCACATTCATTATTAATGTGTGTTTAGGCCTTAATAATAAAACAAGCAAACAAAAAAAATCCCAGAGTTTGAAAATTCTCATCTGAGCTTCATTATTACATTACAAATCTTTTCTGGTTCTTACTCAACATCCCAGTCAGAGCTGCATTAACCTTACAGACCATTTAAAGAAAATAGCACTGTGAGCTCAGATATTGTACCAGTGTTTAAAAGTAATCTGAATTCCCTTTTCTCCTCCTTTCTTCTCAGTGCCCTTGACAACTGGAACTAAAGCACTCCATGGTGAGTTCACACTTGTGTTTTTGTATATTTTTGTGTTGAATGTGTTTAATCTGTTGTTAGTTCAACAATTGAACTAAATTAGTTTACTACATCAACACCAACAGTTACACTGATTTTAAACATGTGTTGAGCCACTAATTTAGATCTATGTAAGGTGAAAAGCTCATTTATCTTAAAAAAAAGAGCCACAATTAAATGTTTTATGTATGTGTGTGTATTATGAAATCTCATGACTGGGGGGATTTTTGTTCACTTTGAAAAATATAATACTTTTTCAGTTTAAAATGCGATTGGTCACTCTTGAGTTTGACATGCAAGCTAAACATGGAAATAGTCTTTAGCCGCTGAAAGAAAATAGACAGGAAAAAGCTTGGGTCAGAAAATGCCACACAAACCTACGTCACAAGGAACGTTCGCATTCATGGATTCAGCCATCTGGTTTTGCAACCACGTAAGGATGCTGTTGATTTAGGGTCCGGGAGAGAGTAGAGCAGATCTTGGGTAGCATTAGCTACTTCACAACACAGCAGAACTCCACCAGGCTTGTATTTGTGGACATTGACAGTCAGCTGATGACTGATGATCCTTTTAAAATAATAGAATAACATTTAGAATTTTATGTTGCTGCAGAGGTTTACAAACAATGAAAACGGTGAATTAGGTTGGATGGATTTTCATGGAAATTGCCTAAAATGTTCAGAGTTTCCTACGTTATGTGATAGTGTCCCACAAACACCCTTTAAATGTAATTACTTTTCAAATTTGGATGAGCTATACCTCTCCCCTCAGGTTTCTGCAGTTTTTATTTTTATTTTATATACTGTATAAAGGGGAAACATGGAGATGTCTAATATAAGCCTTTTAATTTGAAAGGTTTAATTTAATCTACCATAAATGTTTCCTGACGACCTTGTCCTTGGAGCAGGTTTTTCATTTTTCTGCCAAGAAAATTGTTGTAAACATTATTGGTTACTTTCTGCAGTTGGACTTCATGGGCCTCTAGGATTTTGCAGCTTTAGGAGTTTGTTTATGTACTGAGTGTGTCTTTGTTTCTTATTTATGTACAACAAGAGGTCTGAATTTGACAATGTATAATATATCCAAATATATCCTATTTTTGTTTTGTCAGAACTGGTTAAGGTTAAAAAAGTGTTTCTTTTTTTTTTTATTATTGAAGCTTTTCTTTATACAATTACAATCAAACGTTGCATTAATGTCCATAACCCGAGAGTGTACAACTATTTGTTCTTAGGTCATCATTTTGAAAACATTTCCCACCAGAGAGTTCTCCAGGAAACCTGACAGCATCTCAAGGGCCTACAGATGTTTCCTATGATGAACCTTCTCGATCAGACTGACCTTTAGCCCCGGCAGGAACCTTCTCCTCCATCAGCGGGAATCTGAGCCACTCTCAAGCTACATGTTTCATGTGTGTCTGTTGTTTACATTTGTTTGTACAAAATTGAAAAGCTGAAAACAAAAAAAAGATGGACTGTTACGTTTCTTCATATTAATGTGCATTTTTTACTGAAGAAAACAAGCTGAAAGCTCACCCGAAGGTCACAGCAAACTACAGGAACCCAGCACTTAAGATGGAAGTAACACTTTTAGCTCTAAAGTAGAAAGCGTGGCAATGTCACCAGATCTTTCGTCTTGTTTCAAATGACTTTTAAAAGGAGAAAACCTGGATTTTGTGCTCAGGTGACGAGGTTCTGTAAGGATGTTTTTCATGACTTTTTTTAAATGTTTACAAGAAAGTTTGTTCACAATGGTTGAGACATACTGACAGACTGCCTTTGAAATGTATTTTATACAGAAACTCAATTACGCTGTTTAATGTAACGAGACACGTGTTGTTGTCCTATATTTTATTTTCTTTCTGTCGCAAAACAAAATGATGTATTACTGAGTTAAGATTCTAGCTTCATAGCTCTTTCTTTGTGTTCCTGGTCTTGATATCTGGATCATCGTCAACATGAAACACTTTGGTGAAGGTAAATAAGGTTTAGCTTCTCAATGTGGAATTTGATGTTTCTTGCTTTCATAAGAACTGTAACCTAAATACTCTAGTTAAGTTTCATCAGTCTGTCGGTTGCATGCATTTTTGTTTTTTAAAACACACACACACACACACACACACACACACACACACACATTGTTATTGATTATTCTGTTTTTTCTTTATATGGAAGCCGAGAGAGAATTATGCTGAAACCTCTAATACAATAAGCTAGCCATTACAGACATACAGCCTCCTACCTGTGCAGGTATCTCCAGCAGTGATAAAATTAAAAAAAATAGACAATCCTTTATTATAATAAGTAAGAACTATCAGTCAGATTGTGCCATTGTTTACAAATATACGATTCATGCACATTATGAAAAAAGCCTCATCTATCCGAACACCAGTTGTGTTTTGTGATGTCATCATGTTGCACAATAACAGAACACACCCTAACTCTAGTTCACAGTAACTACAATAACGTATGCAAGAAATTATAAATTAAAAGCAATTTTCAAATATAGGGATTTTATAGGCAGTTTCATCAACTACCATTAGCATCAACAACTTTGCATAAAATCTGTCCAAAATATAGAAATTCTCTATGTTATTTCTATTTTTTTATTTTAATCTGAATATATTTTACTGTAAAAACAAGCTGAGGTTGAGTAAAGCGAAACCCATAAAGCTAAATACCACTCTAATAAAATAGTTCATTAACAAGCTGCTGCAGCTGGTTAGCAACAATTATTAGCACCTTTTCTTTTTCTTTTTTTTTTACATTTATGGACCATATTTGACTAATTATGCCTTAATGAGGCTAATGAAAAGTTAACAATTTAGTGGCTGACATATTCATTGAACAGGTTTAGATTGATGTTGCTAACTAACTTTAACTAACTACTTATGAGCCCAATTGTACAGCTACAGTAACAGAGGAGTTTGATTACGAAGCTCTTGACTGATAAAATATAATAAAGCAGACCTCATGTTTGATGAAGACTCAAAAGGACTTCCGCCATCTTCAAACGTCTGTTTTTATTGTTTCATTTGATCTGAATCTTAATTCCTCATCCTTGATGAACATTCTGTGTGCCCACTCTGACTATCATGGTCTCCTTACGCTTTAGAGTCTGATGAACTGTTTACTAGTAAAGAAAAATGACAGGCAAGTGCATAATTTTGTTATTATATACCCAAACTCTGCATGGAAAGGTGGGTTTGAAATGCGATGCAAAGTCAGTCACTTCTGGAGCCAGTAAGCAGGACCATTTTTATATGGCAATGGAATGAAGTGTATAAATTGTGAATAAAGTCTGTAATTCAACTCGTTTTTTGTCATTTATTTTCTAACTCCAGAGTTTTTTAAACAAAACTTGAAAAGTTGCATAATTCAGATCAACAACAAAGAAGGAAGCAAATGTTAAACTAATCTAAATGTGATGTTAAATTGAACCTCTTGTGTTCCTAGAACTGTTTTATATTGTTTCTTTGGTATTTTAACACAATGCACATTATTATGCAGCACCGCTTGCCACCGCCCTGTGGGCTGGATTACTGGTCAGCTATTTTAATAAGAGGTGATTATCTTTTTCCATAAGCTTTGCTCAGAGGTTTTCCTCCAGCAGCAAACAGTATGTGAATAAACATCTTCTCAACAAACCACATTACAAACTCATTGCTGCTTTTAAATACACTCAGATGGATGCAAAAGTGGTCAAAAACAAACTGTTTTTCAGAGAAAAGTCTTGATTTTCAGTGTGTTTCCACAGAAATCTGGTGTGGTTAGCTGAAATGTGTTTATAAACAGCTCTGAGATTTTTAAATGTTCCATAATAATGGGCCTATTTATAATTAGCTGCTTAATTAGTGAAGTCATCAGACACCATCTGAATTTGCACTGTGAGCTACTTATTTCAAAGTAAGAAATGCATGAACCTCTGATGTTCTGGGTTGTTGCTTAGTGTCGTTTTACAATTGCCTGAACTCAAAGACTGATGGGCACCAGTTAGTATTTGAAGAATTAAATACATTTTATAATAATTAAAATATTCCAAATTAGATGAAAAATCCTAAAAAAACAAGTCTCCCTAAATAAAGCGTTAAGAACGCTTCCAATATGTCTTAAACACATGAAACTGTTCCTTCATGTGTGTTGCTCTTATATCGCTGGAAATATTCTCTTCACCCTCTACTCCGCTGACTTCAGACACAACACGGACAGCTGTGTCATGCAGAAGAAGAAGGCTCTGCGATTGTCGGACTGATCACCGAGGATGATGATGTGGAGTGCAAAGGACTGATGCAGGACTTCATTGACTGGTGCCAGCAAAAACACCTCCTGATCAACACAGAGAAAACAAAGGAGATGGTGGTGGATCTTCTCATATGCCGGCCTGCTGTTCCTTCACCGGTGAACATCCAGGGAACGGACATTGAGAGAGTGGACTTCTACAAATACCTGGGTGTTCACCTGAACAACACACTGGACTGGTCTCACAACACGGATGCCCTGTACAGGAAGGGCCAGAGCGGGCACCCTGCAGGATGCCCTGTCTGCTGCTGTCTGTCTGCTCTGGAGAGCAGCTTCAGCAACAGACTGATCCCTCGCTGAAGGAGAGATACCGCAGGTCTTTCCTCCCTGCTGCTGTTAGATTCTATAATAGCCACTGCTAAGAGAATAATAATAATGCATTGAACTTATCTAGCGCTTTTCTAGACACCCAAAGATGCTTTCACACACTCTCACATTCACACACTGCTAGTGATGGTAAGCTACTTGTAGCCACAGCCGCCCTGGGGAGGTCTGACAGAGGCGAGGCTGCCATTTGGCACCGTCGGCCCCTCTGACCACCGCTAACACAGGCAAGTTGGGTGAAGTGTCTTGCCCAAGGACACAACAGCAGGATACCCCTGGCGGGAGCTGGAATCGAACCCATGACCCTCTGATCATGAGGCAACCCGCTCTACCACCTGAGCTACTGCTCATCTGTAACATTACACTACAAATACCTAAGACATCACAATATAACTATAGACACATTACTTGTCTTTGTGTGTGTGTGTGTGTGTGTGTGTGTGTGTGTGTGTGTGTGTGTGTGTGTGTGTGTGTGTGTGTGTGTGTGTGTGTGTGTGTGTGTGTGTGTGTGTGTGTGTGTGTGTGTGTGTGTGTGTGTGTGCTCTGTCTTCTCGATCCCCAGTGAGTCGTGGAGGATGGCTGCTTATACTGAGCCAGGATCCTCTGGAGGTTTCTTCCTGTTAAAAGGGAGTTTTCCTCTCCACTGTCGCTTTATGCTTGCTTAGTATGAGGATTACTGTAAAGTCACTGACACTAGTCAGTGACTTGATGCAATTTGCTGGGTTCCTTATATAGGAAACATTATTTCTGATTGGCTTAATGAACTGTGAATTGGAATGTTTATTATGTGAAGTGCCTTGAGACGACTCTTGTCGTGATTTGGCGCTATATAAATAAACTTGAATTGAATTGAATTGAAAATATCCTCTTTCGAGTCATGTGCTTATTATGTGCAATAATTATCTTCATTTACAATTGCTATACACTCTTGCATGATATCTTGTGCTGCTATCCTGCTGTACCTGAGCCGTTGCAGTAATGCAGTTTCCCCACTGAGGGACAAATAAAGGTATTCTTATACGTATTATTCTTAAATTAAATGTGTTTCAAATGTATTTTAATGGTTTCCTTTCTAAATAGTTGCAGGATAACTGAGGGTGTCTGGAGCCCGTCTCGAATTCCAAACAACAAAGGAAAGTGTTGGCAAACTTTAAAAGAAGTGGTGACTGACTGAAGACAAAAAGGATTTAATATTCCTCCTGGTGCAAAACAGGTGCAACTATATTGTGAATAATATTTTTGAGTAAACTGCAAACAAATTGAAACTTATTTAGGACAATTTTTAATTCAATTAGGATAAGAAGATTTGCACAACCTTCACACAAATGTGAAATTTATAGCTGTGGCTACAGTAGCTCATCATCACCAGCGTGTGAATGTGTAAAGTGCTTTGGAGTCCTCTGTCTCTGGTGTTATATAGTGTAAGGTATTCAGACACTCGTCAATTTTTCACTTTTTGTTAAACGGCAGCAATTTGCTAAAATTAATTAAATTAATTTTTTCACCCTGTATTGACAGAAAAACAGAATTCTAGAATATGTAGGGACAAATATAGATTTATATCTATATTTCAAATGTGGCGTAGATTTAGCTGGTTTATAATCTTTTATTAATTAATCGGGGCACCACCAGTTTTCGGAACATGGACCATTGGATTTAATATCTATATCTTCACAATGTAATCAGTCTCAGAGTTAACACCACAAATTAATCCAAAGGATGAATTCTTGACAGAATGCACCGATTATTCCCGAGAATAGGCAATGATCAGGCGTTATTTACGTTTTGTGAATTTATTACAACATCAGTTAATACACTGACAAAAGGACCAAACACAGCTTATAGTTTCATGCATGGAATTAAGAAGATTGTTAACCCAAAGCTTTATGGCAATGATAGGAAATAACTGATCAGTAATAAAAGTGGAAATTCGGTGACACCAGGATTATAGTAACTATTAGGAATTATTTCTAATGGGGGACAAAGTGAAAAGTTCATGTGGGTTTAGGTGAAATGTGTGTGTGTGTGTGTGTGTGTGTGTGTGTGTGTGTGTGTGTGTGTGTGTGTGTGTGTGTGTGTGTGTGTGTGTGTGTGTGTGTGTGTGTGTGTGTGTGTGTGTGTGTGTGTGTGGGTGCAGGAGGGGGTGTGTTCATGTGTGTGTGTGGATGCAAATGAGAGTTGGTGTGTGTGTGTGTGTGTGTGTGTGTGTGTGTGTGTGTGTGTGTGTGTGTGTGTGTGTGTGTGTGTGTGTGTGTGTGTGTGTGTGTGTGTGTGTGTGTGTGTGTGTGTGTGTGTGTGTGTGTGTGTGTGTGTGTAAGGATTTGTTGAGGCAGAAAAAGATGGTAAATCTTGAGAGCTAAACGGGAATTTGGATCGAAAACTACACACACCATAACAGTTTCATTCTGAATTCACTGATCGGGCTTAGCAGTAAAGTTCAGCCAGATGAAAATGATTCACAGACCTTTCTTCCAGAGGTGGAAAGAGTACTAAAATGTCCTACTTAAGTACGAGTACCAATACTTTGATAATTTTTTACTCAAATACAAGTGAAAGTACTTGCCTAAATTTTTACTCAAGTAAAAGTAAAAAGTATTGTAAACAAAATGTACAAAAAGTAAAAGTTACATTTTTGTCAGCGTGAGGATGGCTACATCTAAGTAGTGCTAAATCACAATGCCAGTTCACAATTCGCTCATGTGTGCGTGCGTGCGCACACACACACACACACACACACACACACACACACACACTCAAACACACACAGCTTGATGGAAGGATCTCTATCCAATCAGTGCGAACAGGAAGTGCACATTGATTGGATGAGGTTTTTCTAGGATTGTACGTTTCAACTGTGATTAAAATTATTCTTTATTTTGAAATATATATATATATATTTTTTTTTTGGATGCCATCAGTATGTGAGGTATCTCAATGTTTTCATGACAAATCTCTAACATGAGACTGTGCTCTAACCTGTCACATAACAAGCTAAATGAAAGTCAAACATTTCAGATGGACCGTATGACAGCTGTTAACGTTGGCCCTGCCCTACTTTACCTCTACATTACAGTTCCTTTATCCATGTCCATCCTAGAGCTCCTCTCTGACCTTCATGCTTATTTAGAGCAGCTGATTTTTAAAGTTAGCAGAGTTCATCCTTGGTAGTGGGTTCACTCACTCATTTAACCCTTCACCACTGAAATCAGTTTGTTCATTCCAATCCTCCTAAATAATCCTCCAATCATTCAACTGGAATCCTTAAGGGTCCCGTAATGTCCATCCTGTCAGAACAGGCCTTGGGAGCCCAGGTGTTACTAGAACTAATGGTGTCTCCTCACCAGCGTGAGCCTCCAATCTGTGAAGGTTAATGCGGGCCAGTTTCAAATTCCCCTTTTTGTTTTCTTCTGCTAAATGTGAGAGGAAAAACTTTGTGAAAATAGTTATGTTCTCCTTCGTGTAAATCCAAACAAAGTTAATCTGACAATATAAAATGTGGATCTCCGCTACAAAAAGTATGCAGATTTATTAAAAATGGAAAACTAAAATCTCACATGGTCCTAGTGAATCTACCATCTCTGTTATTTTCTCGAATGTAAAGCCTGACAAAATAATCATTATCCCAGTATGCCAGTATGGTAAATGGCCTGTATTTGATATAGCGCCTTCTAGAGTCCTGGAACCCCCTAAGGCGTTTTACCACACAGTCAGTCATTCACCCATTCACACACACATTCACCCACTGTGGGGATGAGCTACGATGTAGCCACAGCTGCCCTGGGGCGCACTAACAGAGGCGAGGCTGCCGAGCACTGGCGCCACCGGTCCCTCTGACCACCACCAGCAGGCAACGTGGGTTAAGTGTCTTGCCCAAGGACACAACGACAGTGACAGACTGAGCAGGGCTCGTACCTGCAACCTTCCGATTATGGGGCGAGCACTTAACTCCTGTGCCACTGTCACCCAAATCAATTTTTTCACACCGTATTGACAGAAAAACAAATTTTTAGTGAAAAACGCCAATGGGGGCACGGGGTCTCAGGAGCTTAAATGAGAATAGACAAGCTGGGGCAACAAAATTCCTCTTTGAAGTATGTTTAAAATATCCATGTTCTTAAGGAAGTTAAATGTAGTAACATGTCACATGATAATCATCAGTGTCTGCAGTAACAAGAAGATGCTCTCATTCTCCACCCATGCCACTGATTTTTTTTTCTGGCTGTGTTTTCTGGATTCACCCTCTTTCTGCTCAGCCAATAAATAGCAGAGGAACCCTGCTCTCTGGCAGTCCCTCTCTTCATTCATCTGACACCATGTGGATCCAAGCCTCCACTCTGCTGCTCGCCTGCCTTCTCTGGCCAGCTGAAGCTCAGGATGAAGGTGGCAGAAGGCAAAGCATCTGGGATAATCCTATCAAGTTCAAGACCAAGGCTATGGACAAGTGCACTATGATAATTACCGGCCAAGGAGAGGACACAAACCTGAGGGTGTCGTGCCAGGGGACAAGGCGTCCCTACTGGTGCGATTATGCCGGGAGACCTCACACCTGCAGCGCTTACAATAAAAACCCATTGCACTACTTTGTCCAGATGATGTGGACCCTGAGAAAGCTGCAGAATGCTTGCCAAGGGGCACAACGGTTCAAACCTCACATGTGCAGGAAGGCAAGTGATGACTCTCAGATGGTCTTAACTGCCATCTCCTATGGGTCACAGCCAGTGGCCTCTAGGAATGGACCAAGAAGCTCAAAGCAGTCTGCAAGAGTTCAAACTCCACCTGCGTTTAGGTCTGGGTTTGTGAGAAAAGCAATGAAAGCAAATCGAGCAACTGAGAGAGTGAAGACCAGTCCACAAACAACAACACCTCCACCTGAGAGCACTCCCAAAAGAATGGCTCGGCAGCACTGCTGGAGGTCCCTGAACAGCATCTGCTCCTTTGTGATTGGTTTGTTTCGGAATTAGCCAGACAGGTGAGCTGAAGAAGGGATCATTGCTGTTTTAGAATGAAATGACAGCATCATGTAAGAGTTAAGATTTTTAAGGAAAGTTTTGTGAAAATGTTTTCTCTTCTGGTTAAAAAGGCCTGCTTATTGCTGTTTGATTCACAGATTATAATTCTGATTAAAGGACCCGCTGGAAAGGAACTCCAGATCTGCAGACTGACCTGCAGCGTCCTCTTCAGGAAAACAACCAGAACTGCAGTGGGGTGCCTAAAAGTTCATTTTTTTCCCCCCACTGCATCACACCCAAACAAGCCTGGAAGATGTTTGCATTAAAAATGTGTCTGAAATGGCACAACTTTAATTTATGTTTATCTTTTATTATACTATTCTTTTGCACCATTATCTTGAACTAATGCATTGTTAAAAGAGATCAGATTTTATTTTAGTCTATAAAAAATATTTTTAGAACGTTTAAGTGACTGTGATTTTTTTAAATGTGAAAAATAAACATGTTTTTTAATCTATTTTCTTTTTCTTTTTTTAACTTTGCTAAAAACTATTATTTTCTGCAGCATCCTCTGAAACAGGCCAAAAATGACCTGGCACAATAGAATACACCAAAAATTCATAAGTGAAGATAGTTTCATGATTGTCCTTAATGTAAAGTCTTAAAGCATTTCCATAATGTGGATGAGATGTGGAGCTGAAAAGTGCCCCCTACCGACATGCACACAATCAGGGGTTTTTAAGCATCACCAATAATTAAATAATGCTAAACACATTAGATAAATCAATATTTGCACATCAAGCAGCAAGATAACATCTGTAAATCAACAGAAGGTTTATTTTAAAAAGCTGTCAAGATGGTGTCCCATGGTTGGGGCAAGTCAGCTTGTACTGCAGCCAGCCACTAGAGGGCGTGTCTTTTGCATTAACTTCTATGTTTTCCCTAATTGGGAACCACTGGTCTAATATGTACACACACACACACACACACACACACACACACACACACACACACACACACACACACATATATATATATATATATATATATATATATATATATATATATATATATATATATTTGTTTACTTTAAAATGGTGGGAAGTTTTAATTGGTAGCTTTTCTTTTGTTGTTGTTTGCTCAACTTTGAAAGAGGTTATTTTTTTGAATCAGCCAGCTTTGCTAACAAATTGTGATTTTGTTGTCATTGAATGAAAATTTTATTTTAAAGCCACACATCTTAAAAACGTTGTTGTTTTTTAACTTGCCACAAGTTTACTGGATCTAAATTCCCCCACAGGCTGTGTGTGTGTGTGTGTGTGTGTGTGTGTGTGTGTGTGTGTGTGTGTGTGTGTGTGTGTGTGTGTGTGTGTGTGTGTGTGTGTGTGTGTGTGTGTGTGTGTGTGTGTGTGTGTGTGTGTGTGTGTGTGTGTGTGTGTGTGTGTGAAGGGGAGGGCTGATTATGCTGCCGTCTCTTGGGAGTTGCAGGGAGAGGAAAAATTGTTCTCGTGTCAGAACAGAAAAGTGACGTTTCTCTGAAAACTTCAGGTAAGCTAAGCTACAGCGGCTTGAGCTGTAATAAATTTAGCTTTTTATTTATTCTGTGCACGACTCAAAACTAGGAGAGTTGCTTGGTGGCTTTTATTTTCACTGTGCATCATGAGTACATCTGATGCTTTGTTCCTGTGTGACGTCAAGCATTATAATGATTATAATTAGATTATAATGTTGGAGATTTGTTTTAACTGGTCGCTTGATTTTTCATGATAGGCGTTGTTAAATCAAATCAGTAAGATTTATTTTGCCAGTGGTTTTATGTATCTTGCTATATTTTTAAATATATGTATATAAAGTTTTAAATCTAAATTAAAACAGTGTTGCTTTCTGCATAAATTAAGGTCTAATGAGTGTCTGTAAAAGGAATTGAAAAGAAATAGAGGCAGAATCTCTTAAACAGAGTGTATCCTCTTTGCAGGGTGTTATTATTGGATTTCATGGCTCTCCTCACCAACTTCACTGTCCTCCTGGTCCTCGCTTGTATTTCCCATCAGATGATATTAGGAGGCTGTCAGAAGAGCCACGGACGAAGAGGACGTGGTAACAGAGGACAACACAAGGAGCGATCAGGGCAGAAGGTTGGCCGTCAAACCAAATCTGTCTCTGTGTCTCAAATGATGGGCAAATGGGTCACTAAAGACGCGTCAGAGTGTAGCTGGATTGCAGCAGGGGAAACCCTCATCACCCTTAATGTGACCTGCAGAAAAGGAGACATTAGCATCAGCTGCGAGTATGCTGCCAGACCATCTCTCTGTCCCCAGTATGCATCCAGTGAAGTCGACTACTGGGTCCAGATTTCCAAAGCTCTGAAAAAACACAAGAACCTCTGTCAGGACAAGCATGGACTGCTGAGGGCGGGCATGTGCAGAGGAGCTGCCAGAGAGGCTCATTTCAGACTCCGTGTTTCACAGATGGAAAAAAACCGCTTCAGCTAAACACGACCAAGCTGTCAAATCCTGTCAGCCTGATAACAGGAAGCTGGCAGAAGAGTTCTGCAGCGAGTCCTGGTCAGGTCTGTGCACCTTTCTATTCACAATGGTGAAAGATGCTGATTGCTAAGACAGAAACAGCTGAAGTGGAATAAGTGAGCATGCACACTGATGACTGATATCCACACATTATACTTGTATTATCATTTGCTACACTCTCATTTGTGCTTTATCATTTAAAACTCATTTTAAACACAAATGTTTATTTTGGACATTTGATTCTTTTTAGACATTCTTCCTATTTCTAAAAAAATTTGCTCTCTGTAATAGTTATCCATCAAAATTAAATAGATTTAAAATGTAATTAAGCATTGTATTTGTCTAAATAATTATTTCTGCCCTTCTAGTGTTGCATGGTAGAGCACAAAGGATTTGCTGAATGAATTGAGTGTCATCTCTTCAGCCTGCAATACTTTGGCACAGACAGTGAAATTACAAACTGCTCACAAATTCATCCAAAAGGACACCACCATCTATAAGGATCAAATGGAAGGTTGAACTGATTCTTTTAAAAATGAAACAAGACATTTGTACTAATGATTTACAAATCAGGCCAGTATTTACCATTTTTTAATAAACCAGCATTGGTCGATACATCGTTTTAGCAGAGCCAATTTAAAGTCAGGCACATCCGCAGGCAGCCTGTGCTGCAGCATATTTACGTTTCTGAAAAACATCTGCTTAATAAATATTCTACAACATTACTGTCAACTGACAAGGCCATAATCCCTCCTTTTGGCGTATTTTTCAGACAGGAAGTGTGGGAGGATTAAGACTAGTGGTGGTGGTGTGTTTGTGTATGTTTGTTTGTGTGTATGAGGGAGGGAGTGACGGGTTCTTTAAATTTGGTTTTCAAAAACTGATTCAGGTCGAGAAACATTGCAAATCCACTGTTAACATGCAGACAAGGTGGAAAATGTCTAGATGTCAGCCCTGAAATTCTGCCCAATCAATCCACAGCACTAATCGGCCATCAGCTGATCATGACCTCTACATATCAGCAGACATCAGCATCACATAGGTTGATCTCTAATTTATACCACAAATAATATATGTTGTTTTCAGAATTAAACCAAAATCCACAAACAGATGTTTGCCACTACTTTATGCAGCTTTTTTATACAATAAAATATGGCATAAATCTAAATCTGTTTACGTAATTCACTAAACTGATGTCAAGATACTTTTGTTTTTAGATTTTTGTGATACACGATCACCATTGAAAACATCTAAATGATCAATTTTATTATAAAGATTTGAATAAATGCTTTTAGAAGAGTTTGTTTAAGACCTTGAGGATTCATATCTACAGTTTTTCCCACGTTTATGGTGTTAATGTGCCATGCTGACAGCGGTGCACATGCTTCCAAACCAGCAGCACACAGATATCAGCGTTCACCAATCAAACACAGGTCATCCAGAGGCAGACCTTCATCCTGCTGGGATTTCAGAAAGAAAAAGGAAACAACTCTCTACTTTTCTCATCATCATTTAACTCTCATCTACTGCTGAAACATAACGCAATACCCACAGCTGAAATCCTTCAAGTTCAGCCTCTCCACACGTCACACTCTGGTCTTTGTAGGAAATTTTGTAAGGATAACAACTAAGCCATCCAAAGCAACACGGCACAAGAAAAGGGGCAAATTAGAGGGCAGTCACAAAGTCAGCAGGATTGCCGTGAATATAGAAACACATTAAAGGAGGAATTTTTCCCTCAAGCAAGTAATAAAACAGCAGCTGCATAGACCAGAAAGCTGCTGTGCTGCTGGGAATCCTGTTAAAGGTGATGCAACCACATGGAGAGCTCGTAAACTTGGTGAAAACAGTTCCTGTGAAAACAGTGTAGTAGAAACAGCTCCTTCAAAGTGTCATTGCAGATTTGGTAGATTCTCTTTTAAAATGTTACAATTCAAAGACAAAAGTGAACACTTGATGCTGATGGAGTGATGTTTGCCTGTTTTCAAATGTAACCACATTTCTAAATTATATAACTAAGCTAACATTAACTGTACTTTGTCAATGTACACAACAATTCTTTCATATTAAAGCATGCAAGCGCCCCATTCGACACTGACCCTGCAGAGAACGTCCTGCTCTCTCAGAACAGTGATGCATTCACAAAAACATGAGTGGGTTGTGATTCACATGTCACAGTTTTTGAGAAATGGTCAGAAATGTTATTTGCAAGCTTTGAATGGAATCATTCAGCAGCAGAGAGAGCATTTAGCTGTTCTCTACACTTCCAGGGTTATTTCAGGAGCCCAGCATGAGTCTCGGTTGGATATCTCAGTCATAATAGCGTCTAAAGTTTAGCTGCAGTTGCTCCAATCACAGAAAATGATAGTGATCATGTTTGGGAACTACTTGTTAAAAGTCTGACTCATCTTGAAAAATCAGCAGAAGCATTTTCAAAGAAACAAATCTGGAAATCTATTTATTCATCAGGCAAATAAATGTGTCAAACAAAGACAATAAAAGACCACCCTCCTAAACATATCTAAGCCCTACAATAATCTCTCAGTTTATAATATTACTACTAAAAGACAAGCGGATGGCTTTGTTTTAGCTGGTTCAGTGGAAAACACTGGAACAACACAGCAAACGGAGGAAATACAGTAAAACTACATGAATATGTATGTAAAAAAAAACTCAGCACAAATGAGTCAGCACACTTGCAGAGAGCGACTGCAGTCATGAGGTGTCTTTCTTCACCTATAAGATTGTGCCATATTTCAAATGCATAATTAACCAACAACAAAAGTTTATTTACTCTCAGATTGGTGTGAAAAGTATGAATGCATCACATAAGTACAACTAAGAGTGCAACGCTGACTAAATTATATATTTGATAGAAAATGTGTGTGTTCTCACTTTACACTAACAATTGCATCTCAGCCGACCAGTCTGTGAAGCTCCTACTTGTTTAAAATGGCTTTGGCATCGACTTTGGACAATTTAGACTTGAGTATTTCTTTGCGACATTAGCAGATACAGGTGAGACTAGAGAAATTAGAATGTGGTGCAAACATTCATTTATTTCAATAATTCTGAGAGACCATCCAAAGGCTCGGGAGCCCTTTGCAGGGGTCTAGGATTCATTAGCTGATTAGAGTGTGACACTTTGAGTCTAGAACATTGAACCTTTTTACAATATTCAAATTGTCTGATATTCTGACTGTGGGGTTTTCATAAGCTGAAAGCCATAATCGTCACAATAATAACAAATAAAAGCTTATTTCGTAAAAGGACGTGTTTGCTTCTTTTTCTTCTTTCTCTTCGACGGTATTTAGCAGACTGCCTTGTTGACTGATTTTCATTTCACATTGTTCGTTGCTCTGATTGGTCCCAGTGTTGTCCAGTTGTGTGCAGAGACAGCTGGATGGCTTGCCAGGCTACAGCACCGTGTCAGCCGTGGAAAATCTTCAGTTCCAATGAACACCCATTCCACCTAACCTGAGGTGATCCTCACACATACCCACTGTCAGGAAGACATGCAGAGATTGTACTTCCTGCATTAGCTACAGAAGTACAGCCTCCCTCAAGACCTACATCTATGTTAACCAATTTGCCCTGCCTGCATCCATCAATGTATGATTTGGCTCCACCACTAAACAGGATCTGTCCAGGTTGCAAAGAATAGTCTGGTCTGAAGAGAGGATCATCAGGGTCAACTTTCCCTCCATCCACAGGTCAGGTAACATCTCTGCAGACCCCACACACCCTGCAAACAATCCTTTTAATCTTTTACCATCAGGTCGGTGTTACACAAACAATTCCTTATAGTTTTGTGGACAATAAGAACCCTGCACTATCTCAGTCTGCTGTTTTTGTGCTATATTTACCTAATTAAACTCAAACATTTGAAAACATTACATGTTCTTATTTTTATGTGTTTTTCTTGTAAACATTTTTCCCTATTTCCCAAACTAATTGTGGGATGTGAGCGTTTGGAACCAAAGCCAAATTCCATGTTTGTGTAACAATCTTGGCCAATTAAACAGCTTCTGTATTTTGATCAGAGATAGTGCAGCACTGTTCAGAGTGATTGTTGATAAAGTTTTTGGCTGAAATATTAGGATTAAAATGAATGTCCTTGTGGATCCAGAATGGTCTGACTTCCTGCAGCTCCTGATTGGCTGAGAGACGTCAGTCGATCTCATTGAGGATAAAATAAGGCAAACACACTGTGGCTCTGGTTATACTAAGACGATTTGATCCTTTGTGTGTGTGTGTGTGTGTGTGTGTGTGTGTGTGTGTGTGTGTGTGTGTGTGTGTGTGTGTGTGTGGCTTTCATGAATGCCTGGCATGTGGGTGACTGAGCATTCATTTTGTAAGGAGCTTTTGACTAAGTGGAGCAGTGATTACAAGGACTTGAAAGGAATTAATGAAACTTTACAGAAATGCCATTGTTAGGTTAAAATCTGCTTCCATGAGACTCACAGGAAATGCAATCATTGTGACATAAATTGGTCCAAAAAGATACAACTTATTATTTTACATTAGAAATTAGCAAACAGCTGAGTCAGGGTTCAGATTACGGTAGATGAAAACTATCCAAGATGAAACTCTTTAGTGTATTGGTTTTACATTTTGAGGATTTTCTGATTAGTTTTAACCTAGATTGTAGTTTTTGTTGCTACGTTTTTAGTAAAACCCTCAATGTGTCTGCTCATGGGCTCCTTGAGTCAGCACCCTGTCATGACCAGTAGTGACCTCTTTATTTTACTGTGCAGAGAGGGATGGCACAGCAAACTTCTGATAGACCAAGTTCACTGAAATTTTTTTTTTTACTTGTTATGTTTTAAGTAAGATCAGTCATTCATTTAGAATTCAGGTTAGAGGTGCATTATGAAGAAATTAAGTAAAAATGACATCCTGTGGTAAAATTTGGTTACTGCAACTACTTTAAACAACTCTGGAGCTTTTTGCCAATGTCAAATTACAAATGTCGACGCTGCAGTAATAGCCCATAGGAGACACAGCAACCTCACACTCAGTGATGGTCAACAGTAATTACGTCCCTTCTTCCTTTATTTTGAAAGGAGAAAAGCTGACAATCCTCAGCAGCCAGCTGGATATGAAATATGTTTCAGTATGACCGTCCTTCCAAAATGACTGAAACATTAAGACTCTTTAGGGATTTTCTCACTGTAAAATTATCACTATATTCTTATATGCTGCACCTTTAAAAGTGAAAATGGTCTTTTACCCCCATGTCCAGCATAGACAAGGAAAAGCTCTGATTAGAAAAGCTAATTAATCGCACCACACATTGAAAATTAGCATTCATGGACCCATATTGGCTCGTGACAGAGAAGACTGTTCATTTGGTGTCCAGAAGAGAGCAGGGTGTATCTCGGGTAGTATTCTAACCATTAGCGTTAGCACGCATCAGCATTGCAGAGCAAACAGAGTCAGTGGTAGAGTAGTGTTGCTGTTAGCCAATCAGAAGCAAGCTGCCTGAATATCAGGAAATAAGACTCCAAATCTTGCTGTCTCCTGCTCCCCTCTGCTCTGGCTCACTTCTGGTTCCTGACGCTGGAGCACCGGAGCTTTTTTTCCACAGAGATTGACTTGCAAGTCATTCATTCATAATAGAGACCATTGCAAATGTGTGGAATAAGCGTGTTAACTTGGTCTTTAAAATGAGTGGAATTTCCCTTCAATCCATCTGCTTCCGCGATACCTTTTGATCTTCTTGTGACAAATAGAAACCCAGTTAATACTTATTGATAAAACTCAACCATTATGGGTCTGTTTTTCTTTTTGTTTTGTTGGTAGAAGTTCAGCTGCACATCAAAAAGACAATAATTGAAAAGTTTGCACAACAGCACTCAGCATTTATCATTTGAAACACTCCCAACTAAAACATAGCACATCAAAACTGACCTTGACATCTGAAAACCCACGTGAGTTATAGATTTGTGTGTGTTGTTTAAGGTCAGCTGGCTCTGTAGTTACATAAGAATAAACCAAAACTTTAAATTTCAAACATTAATATTAAAATCATACATTAAAGAAGGGTATTTTTGTTCTTCATTCCTTCCTCTTTCTTTTTGTCAGGAGTGTATTCTTACTTGAAGACAGCATTGTGTGGTTTTGTCATTTCTCCTTTGTTTCATGATTTCACAAAGATTCAATCCTTCTCAGTGTTCAAGCTTAGAAAACAACCAATTTGCTTGCAAAACAGCATTCTTTATAACTGTTGTGGAAATGTTAATGTTTATTAATTCTTGACCATTGATTCAATCAACTGAAAGTAATATGTATTGCTCTATGCTTCTTTGCATGCCCACGTATCAGACACACCCACACTAGCCACACACCCACACACATTCTTGACTTCCCACACACACACACTCTCTCTCTCTCTCTCTCTCTCTCTCTCTCTCCCCCTCCCCCTCTGACTACCCACACACACTCTCTCTCTCTCTCTACCCCCCCCCCCTCTCTCACTCACTTTCATTCCTTTCTTATCTCTTGGTATAAATAAACTCTGTGACCAGATGTTCGGGGCATTTTGCCTCATGCATTGTGCCACAGCTATAACTGTTTGACTTGTCTGTTCACTGTCTCCTTTTTCTTTTCGACTACAGGAAATGGGTCATTGATAAAGATATTGATAAAATCCATGACATTATTTGGTCCTTTGAGCCGGTGTCCCATCACCTCGCAGCGCCAAGGACAGATGCTGGAGAAATGTTGACAACCTAAATCTCCTCCAGCTCTGAGTTTTGCTGGGGGGTCGGTGAGGTCTTGACGTCGCTAGTGTCATGTTGGGCTGTAATTGTTTGACCCATGACATGAAGAATCACCACTCGAGGCAAAGGGTAAGTAAAAAATGATTTATTTTGACTTGTTGAGGTGTGGTTGAAGGTCTGAAATCAGAAGGGTCCAATAGAGTTCTGCAGCAGAAACAAGGATGAGTAGTTTGCAGATAAATGAGGATAATGCGCAGAGAGGGGGGCTTACGGTTTCCTGATGGTCTTGGAGCTGGAGATGAGGGTGAGTCAGGTCTGGCTGAGTGAGGCGTCCTTGAGATGACGATGATGGCTGGGAGCTGAGCACAGGAGTCCAAAGGTGTCCGGACTGACAGGTGGGCGTTGGAGAGCAGGCGGTCGGGGCGAGCGGCGTGGCTGGCAGGCGGGGCTGATCCGGGGAGTCTCTTCCATGAGAGGTAGAGTAGTTTAGTGGATGAGAGGTACCTGAGGGAGCCGGAGGACAAGCAGGTGAGTACCAGGGTTGCAGGAAACTCCAGAGACAAACCAGACTGAAACAGGCAGAGCACAGGTTAGATACTACCCAATACTGAGTAATCATCCGGCAATGGTGAGTTGTCACGCCACTCCTTAAATCCCCTGACGCAGATGAGGAGATTAGCAGCAGCTGCTCTCCGGGGCACGCCCACCTGCAGACAGAAATACTCAGCTCCAAACAAAGGTTAACTCAGCACAGACCGTGAAAGGCCACCACTCGGCGGCAAGGCAGAAGAGGAGGTGGAGGAGGAGGCAGAAACGGCACATGCAGCATCAAAATCCCTGATGAGGGATGGGTCATCAATCCAGGACCCGGGGATCCACTGACGATGTTCCAGGCCGTAACTTACCCAGTTCACCAGAAACTGGCGACCCCGGCCGCGGGGCCTGGCATCCAGTAGACGCAGCACTCGATATTCCAGGCTACCATTGGCAAGACGAACAGGAGGAGAAGGAGGAGCAGCAGCAGGGGCAGGACACAGCGGACTGGACGAAATGGGCTTGATGAGGGAGACATGAAATACAGGGTGGACCTTCAGGGATGCGAGCATTGAAAGTCGGACAGACCAGGGGCTGATGACGTCACTGATAGTGTATGGTCCAATGAACCGAGGGGTGAGTTTCTTGCTGGTATCCTTTAGTTGTATGTCCCTGGTGGAACGCCAGACCTGTTGCCCTCAGGTATAAGGAGGGCAGAGTGGCAGTGGCGGTCAACCAACCATCGGTTGCACTCAGCAGTGCGTTGTAGAGCTGCCCGGGTCTAGATCCAAGTCCTCTTGGCCCTGCGGATGAATTGTGGGACTGAGACTGAGGTAGGGAGATCTGACAAGAAAAGCGGAGGTTGATAACCCAGAGATGACTCTAACAGGCACTGACCTGTAGCAGATAAGACATGGGAATTGTGAGTGTACTCAATCCAGGGAAGTTGGGTGCTCCAACTGGTAGGATTGGAGGAGCACACACAACAAAGCATGGCCTCCAACT